AGTGTTGGACTCAGAATCAGATTACGCAAATTGCCACTAAGCGCAAAACTTCGCAACACAATGTTGGAGTAGAGAAGTACTTTAATGTGTCTCAATGTTATGTGACTATCCCCCTTTAGTACATCTACTGTTCTTGCAGTGTGACTCAAGAGTTTCATCCCAGGAGTGAAGACAGATGCTAAACACACATCAAGTAGGAGAGAAAAGCGGTTTGGAATGCTCTGAGTATCGTGGGAGTAAAGAGTGTGATGGGAACGCATCATCAATCTGTCAGCATGTGTACTGTGATTCTTAAGTGCAATGCGTTCCGAGGGAGGATCTAAGCTGCCACCATAGGAGCATGGACCCGAATTCAACATGACTAAGACAAACAAAACAAAATAAGCAACTTCTTTTAAAACAGCAGAAATTCGAGATGTCCTCATCTAGGGAATTCCAGTCTTAACCAATCAACACACAACAATCCAGACTAATCAGCTTCGGACTCCGACTCCCGAGTCCAAATCCATTTCGTATCAGAGACAAGCTTACACCCCACAACAGATTAAAAGAATTCTCAAGTGGATTTCAAACACAAATCTCTGGTATATTTTTATATTTAGGCAAGAAGACGTGCACATCTGTATTCACCCGAAGGGACTCAACACTTAGTCAAACATCACATTTAACTAAGCCAATCATTTTCAGCTACATGCTCTCCGAGATGCCATACAAAGACCATCAAACCAGCAAACACAAGAGATTGAGGTGTTTTTGCAATGTAGTAAAGTGATACATCAACGGCTACTTTCAAGCGTGGACTCCAGCATAATCCTGGCACAAAGTTGAGGCAATAATTTAACCCTTGGTGGTTCGAATCCTGACCAATAAATTGGGAGAGTGAGCCAGGCACAATTACGTACCGGTGATGCGGAAGATGTAGGACATGTTTCCACGGACCCAAGAGGAGGTTCCATTGAAACCAATGAGACTGGCGTCGATGCGCACGTTGGGGCCCTGCTTCCACACCCGGCAGATGTCACTTGGGCACATTCGCGAGACCAGAGGCACTGGAAAGGAAGAATTAAAAATAGTCATTTACTATCGTCCTGGGGAGGTGGAAAAGAGGGATGTAGAACTCATGGTTAGTGACAGGAGATGTCTCCTCTTCTGACGCCCACAAAGGCATTCAGCTAACTCCCTCCAAATATCACTGATTTGAAATGCGTCTACTATTCATACTTTCAAGAGTAGCGTCTCCTACCAAAAAGGGACGAAAACTCTCGTTTGTCGATCACATCATTTAGCAGCGCAAGTCATTGCTGCGAATAACAGGTATTCTTTATTAACAAATTTAGGCAATTAGGAATTAAGACTACTCGAAGTAGGCTGTAACTCAAATCTACTTTAGCTATTTGGATGAAAATTCATGAAACACTTTAAACCACTTAAAATTTTGTAGATATATTTTGCAGATTTGGTGATTCATACAGTGAATATTAATGTGGATTAACTATGTAGCTCACAATATCTGTAAGAATTTCGAGGATTGTTTTTTACGTGAACGGCGATTATCAGTGAAGAATGAAGTCTTGAGTAGGGAAGAAATATCAAGGCGCCAAATTAGCCGCTTCGCTGCCGTTGCATGTAATGCAATTCACCAGTATTTGTGTAACAATGACAGAGATTCAAATTGACCTTTACTGCTAACAATCACCACGATTTGTACCTGCATGGAGATTCGTCTTGGCGAGAGTAACATTTGTCATGGAAGAATCTTTAACCGTGGAAACTCGATTAGAAGCTGGGAAAAGTATGATTGCATAATCTAGTTAACGTGAAGAGGAAAAATGGGAAAGTTACTGTGAATGGGAGAGAGAAGCGATTGATCCAGTAACCAGATCCATATCATGAAGACATTCCTATGGTTTCCCAGAACCCATGCAAAGAGTGTACCCATGCTACTGCATGTTCAAGAGAATTCCAGACAGCACGAAAACTGATCTCATTTCTGACAACTTGCGGTTCGCGAAAAGCTGACTCCATTAATGTGGGGAGTGGTTGGAGCAGTTCCTTTTAAATTTGCAAACAAAGACGGTACACACACGATGCAAAAACAAAAGCATTTTCTCCAATTATTGAGAGTTCGTGTTCATCGGTATTTTGTATTTCATTTCATACAGGTGCTGGACTCCTTTCTCCATGTATCCTCAAACCTTGGTACAATCACCAAAACACCTGAACTTCACAGATCTACAGATTTGTTCATTCTCTTGAGCTCCGAATGAAAGCCATATTTTCTGAATCCTTCTGCCAATAAATGACCATTTCGGCAGTTGTGCGTATTCATAGGAAGGTGAAACAACTACTTGTTTAACGAACACTCAATAAGAAAGCTCATCCTTTCTTGAAAATTCTGTGTTCAAACGAATCCAAACAGTTAGTATTTGTCACGAGGCAGCTGGAGAGTTCTTGTAAACATAGGCACACCGAAGGGGTGATTTTAGGCCAACCAGATAGGCTGTAGGGTTGGACTTTGGCATAAATTTCTTTTGGCACCAAACACAGATGGCGAAAATATGTAATGCGCGTGTAGGAAACGTTTCAGGATAGCAACAGAGGTTTTATAATTCATCCAATGCGAAAAATTAAGCATTGTAAAAATGCGACCAAGAGGCAAGGTGTGATTGCTATTCCAAAGCCTGCAATACTTTGTGCAGTATTTTCAAAAAAAAGATGACACAGGAACCACCTATCAGAAATTCAAATCTTGTAAAAATGCTCAACTATTAGCTATGAAATACCCAAATTCTTAATGTAGGTGCAAATTATAAGACCAAACTAAAGGTGTATCGTCCAAACCATCTTCCAAAATCTTATCCGTTCTTATGGAGATAGGTCAAAGGGGTCAATAAATTGTCCAAATGGGGACGGCTAACACTTTCGGAAGCTCTGATCTGTCAAACGACTTAAATGCCAATGACAGAACAACCGCAAACAGAAGTTAAACAACTGCAGAGAGTTTCTTTACATATTTTATTAGTTGAAGTAACCATCGTTACAGCCTGTAATCGCCTCATCCTTTCCCAATGAGGGCAAGAAGAATCTGACCCTATCCACCTCCGTCTCCGTATGCCTTTTGAATTCGATTCACCAATCCCATTCCACATGCGACTGAGTGGTGCCGGTACCACGAAAAATCAACTGTCGTCCAAAGCTTGGAGAGATGTCATCAGAGGAACATAGGAAATGATGATGACTTGCTATCTCCTTCCTATCACATAGATCGTTTCGAAGTCTTCATGGGCAAGTTTTGTGACAAGATCTTACAAGGTAAGGACCTTAGTCTCACTGATCCACTGGTTCTAGGTGTCACTAAGGAAGAAAATATTCCCACGTAACCTCGAGTTGCACTGCGTTTCTTAGTTAAACAATTCGTCTACAGTCCTCCAATACGCAAGGTATACCCGGTCTTCTGGGAATGAAGTGGCTGCGTAGTGAGTGGATCCCCTGGGAATAGTCACAGGAGAGTCGATCATTCAGTAAACAAGATGTTATGCGTTGTTTTAACGTAAATAAAGGGAATGAGAAAAAATGTCCCTTGATAACCAACTACCAAAGTATCTGGGTAAGAACCATTTGCTTAGCAGCCTTTACGGCCTTTCCTTCCTCGACGATGTAGTTGTAAACAAACTGCTCCATCATCCACGTTAAGCATCACTGACGGTTGTTTTTTGACAAGTTACGCTCGAATTAACGTCACAACAATGGCATATAAAGCCGTCTCAACGTGATTCCCCATCAAAACTCAATTTTCTCAACCATTTGAGAGAAGAAAGTTGAAACTGTGTCTTTTTAAAAGGTCACACAACAACTTTGAAGCAATATTACCTTCCACAATTTGAGATCGAATTGAACTCATTCCGTTTCATCAATTACAATCAACATTTTATGCCATCATGGTTCAAAATAGGGTAAAAATCGCAGAGATCACCGTTAACGACGACAGGATATGCCCCATAATGGATTCATATGAAAAATTGCATGCATATGATGCTGAAATCCGAAAGAGCTTTTAAATCACACGGTCAAGGAATCAAATGACAGAACCCTCATAAATTAGCAATGAATGCATCCCGAATTAGGCATGAAGTCTGGTTTTTTAAAACAACAAAGCAATACACTTTGTTATTGTAGCTTTGTGTGAGGGTTTGCAGACTCACACTGGTGGCATGAAAAAAAAATAGAACGCCGCTTGGCTACTTATTTCGTCAGTACGTTGAGCATTAAGGTGTTTCCAGACTTGCTCCTCTTGTCACATCATTGGATTGAGAAGTTGGCGACATCGATGTATGTCCCTGATCGAGGGATACGAGCTAAACTACATTTGTAGGAAATCGAGGCTCGAGACTTTACATTCCTCCGTGCCCCTAGGCAATGATTACCTCGAGTATTGAAGAGGAGAATTATAATTAGAGAACAACAGGATTTTACTCTTGCGAACCAATCCCAAAAGAACAAAATTGAAACCAACAAAATCTAGCTACATAATAATCCGATGCTTCATGCTTGGCATTTCGCTGGTATTTCTAGCCTACCTTTCTACATTTTTTTAACAAATGAAGCCCATTTTTTGGTAGAGATAGGCAAAAGGCGTAGCAGGATGTCTTAATTTCTGTGCAGAAGATCACGGTCGCGAAGTACATTTTACATGAAATGTGGTTAAACGGTGAGAAGGGTGTGTTAGGCATCTGTGACGTCTTCCACTGCCTTCAAAACAAATTTTTTTCATCCTTACAACCGTGTGTCTTGCAAAGGCAGTCATGCAGTAGTACAAGGTCATTTTAGGGAATGCCTTGGAATCTCGTGCCTTCATGGTTCGTAATAAAAGTTTATTCCTCTTTTTCTACAATATTAGGAAAGAGTATACTGGGTTACTACTTAATGTAAACGTGATTGAAAGAGGGCGTTGTTGCTATCGTGATGTTTGCCTAGGGAACACGGGAGAAAAGGGGAGGGAAAGACGGTGAAGTTTTCACAAAAAGGTAATTTCTAGACCATCTAGAGGCACGCATTTTTATACCGTTTTATAAAAAGCCAAGTTAGTCAAGATTTTCACAGTTCATTTTAATTTTCCACCATACTATACAAACCTTCAATTGAGCTTAAGAATCAGATTCTTCATGCCTACCAGAGTGCTTTGAAGAGGGAGAAATTTGGATTTGAAGCCTTTTCCGCCACACACGATTTGACCTCCACGATGATGTTAAGTTGCTAGCACCCCTAAGTCTCTTCACTGCCTCCAATTAAACTAAAACCTATCATCAGGAATAACTCAAACGCTGCGGTTTGATCCAATAAGTCAAAGGAAAGTAAATTTTACTAAACCCTATATTTTCAGATCGAAGTCAAGAGTAGATTTTCGGATGCGAGTAGATAATACTCAGGCTTGACCAGAAAGGCCGTATCACCTTTAATGCCACAGCACTTAATAAAGGTAGACTTTTAGGATCCTTACGCAATCGTTCATAACCGGAATCAAAGTATTTTAAACAATTTGTGACTGGTACCTTTGGTCACCGCATTCTGACATAGTCCAAATGCTACACAAGTTGTACAAGAATCCAACTTCTACACCATTGAAGTCTGAATCTAACTCAGTTCACAAAGCCGACAAGCTGGAATTAGATCCAGAAGGTCTGACCAACACTTAATGACAGTAAAGAATGCAATAAGGCGTACAGAAACGATGATAAAATGACGCCTGACAATGTCCTTTAGGGCAGCCACTTAAAAAGTCGCATGCACTGTACAACTCCCCAACGCGAATCACAAGTCATTGCGGTGAGCTACATCTAAGACTGCTTCATAATTTCCTCCTTCTTTTGAAATTTATTGCAAAAAATCTAGTAAATATCCCCTTTTGTCTTCAACAAGTATTTGGGAAAATCCCACTGTTTATCAAAACAGTGGGATTGTGATTTGATTCGGATCTTGTAACGCTACCGTGATGCCGTTTTCATACTAACACCATCACGTGGAAATTCGCCTCCTTTTAGAGGCTCTTTGAATGCTCTGAGAAGGCGGAAATCGGATGGCGCTATATCTAGAGTATAATTTAAATGCAACACAAACTTTCCATTGCATTTTTTATCAATTTCCAATGCGGGAGCTGTGGTAGAGGACAAGTTGACCCTAGAGGATAGATATCCTCCCCTTAAAGTGAATTTCAAGTTGATATTCTCCCTGATACTCTATTGTTACAGTTGTGACAACCATTCCGCATTCCTGATAGAATTGAATGATGGGCCCGTGAAAATCCTACACGACCATCAATACCAATTCTCCTGCCTAAGGTTGAATGTCAGATTTCTTTTTTGTATAGTTCTGGAGAGGCTTTCATATTTCACTAGGATTATTTTTTAATTTTCGGGTTCCCATTGATGAACCTAAGTGTTACCACTAGTGACGACCCTTCGCAATAATGACTCAGGTGCTTGCGTTTGCGCTCATCTCTCAGCTTCTTCGGTGCACACCTTACTAAACCTAAGAGACGGTCAAAGATAAGGGTACCGTAGATAGACCCAACTCTCGCAACCAGCAATTACTAATCCATTTTATCTGTCTTTTTAAACTGAATCCAGATTCAACCAGACATTCGTAGCTCTCTGGTCTTGCCTCGAAGATTCATTTAGAGATGGTGACTGTAGATGAGTGAACTTTGCTTCCACACTGAGCACATACGCGCTGAAACCTACTATCTCTTAAGGTGACTTGCCAGATAAAATTAGTCGAATAATACACTCCTCTGCCTCGTGTTTCTACGGTTGGAAATAAAAATTCTGAAGAGCAAGCAAGTTGCCATCATAACATACGGTAAAAATTATTACGTGTTAACTAATAACACGGACACCCACTTTAAAGTGTAATTGCTGCCTTTTAGAGCGGTGGCTTTGATGAAACCCTTTTTGAAGTCGTGAATTACTCCATCTTAAAATGAAACAACAAAAACGGTGTGATCAGCTAAAAGCATCAATGGAGTGTTTAGTCTAGGTGGGGCTAGCAGATAAACACAAGTTCAATCAAATGAGAAGTTCGCGCCAATTTGACCAAAGTTGTGGTAATTTGCATGCAAAAAATGCGCTCTATGCAGAAACTCATCAAGATAAGTTTATTAGACTGGCTTTGGCGACTTGATATTTAGTGTAGATATGGTCATAACCGCCTTAACCAAAATTGCTAAGACGCAATAGGAGGATCTCATTACCGGACTCGCCGATGTGTACGAAAGATCACTTCCACAGTGGATAGCCGTCTTCATCAAAACCAAAATGAGTCCAAATTTGCAACTCCAACATGTGCGTATAGGGATTTCATAGACCAGCACCATTCTCATCGACATGGTGAAGATCACACCATTACCATTTCAAAAATTGCAATAATCAGATATTGACAAGAAAATTCAGCTGCTGACAATACCCACCGACTATCACCACAATTAAAAAGCAATGAGGTGAACTTAACAACCCCACTTAATGCATGTGGGCTAAACAAATGGGATAGAGAAATTGGAGAAAGTAAAACAAACTACTTCTGGATCAATTGAGGTGGGATTTGAGAAAGAATGAGGGGGATAAAGGACTCGTTTCAATGCTCTATTTATCTTAGCTGCTTGTCCAAAGCTGTAAAAATTTTGTGGGTTCTTGCAATAGGACCTTTGCTTGGTTCCTTCAAAGGAAAAATCATGCGTACATACACATAAGCATATGCAACCGCCTAGGTCACTGCTGGGGAGAAGGGCAAAATTAATGAATAGGTCAGTGTAGGATTCGCCTAAATATTTGAATGTCCGCGAGACAAAATTCCACTTTGAATATTCTCAAGTTTCTTCTAACTGTTTAACCATTTCCAACATCAGTCCAAGTGAATATTTTAGGTTGCAACTTCCATATTTTCCTTACAATAGAACTACGATTTGGTCGTGGATGTGACGCAAGAGATAGATGAACAATACATTTTATTGGTGCGGGCGTGCCAGTGAATGAATCCAGAGTGCGTCCGTGGAATATTTGGAAAAATTCCATAATCCAAGAGACATTAACTTCGCCCGATTCCAGCGAATCAATTTATTAACCATACCAGTCGTTCGTCATGATAATATATGAAATGCAAATCGTGGCCTTTTTGATACAACGGATTAAGGTGCACCAATATATTTTTTGTACTTACCACCATAGATTCAAGTCTGATTTCCTTTATTTAATCATAACAGGAATTTGTGGGTAAATTACGGTAGTAAAGAGGACATCACAACGAATGGCTGAAAAATTTCTCAACGCGGCCCAGGTGGGCAGGTGGGTAGATTGGTAGATCCTTCTACAAATTTTACATTGGCAACAAACCAAAATAAAGTGATGGACGAAGTAGGAAGAGGGGTTAAACTTATTGAAATCTGTCAACACCTCGAAAAAGTGCTTACTTATTCCTCAGGCCATAAATTCCACCACTCCTGGCAACGAATCACAAGTGGAAAAGACTGAGAAAGGTGCTTGAGTGCCTCATTAAATGAAGAAAAATGGCTTACAAAAGAATTAAGGATGAAAGAAGGGCGATTAGACTCACACCAACTGGTAAACTCCCATTTGATTTCCACGTAGAAGTCGGGCGTAGCCTTGAGCTTTTCCAACAACGCAGTGATGATTTTTGCCTGGTTCTGCAGCATGTGCGAGTCGCGGTGGGTGAGGACTATCTTCAGCAACTCCGGATCACCCGTGCTAATAGCCTCTTGAGTGACTGAAATCGAGAAAAGGGAAAGTCGAAGCCGTTGTACATGCCTCTGCAAAATATGCCCACAAGTGATCTAACAAACCCGCAGGATTTGTGACGGCGGAGTAATCTTCTTCTAACAATCTGTTAAGCTAGATAGAGTTGAAAGGAGTTAGCACTGCCCAAGGACGCCGGGAGTCATCCATTAGAATGCCCAGGGATGATCAGACCAGACTACGTTAATTCATTTAGTAGAACTTCATCCATTCAACCAAAGAACTGATGAAACAACTTGATTTTTTCGCTCAAACACGCCACATGTACCACAAAGGCGATGAATAAACTACTTCGACTCAACGAAGACCTTTTCCTAAGTAGGTCCTCATTCAAATAAACCAAGTCCATGCGTGAATCAAATCGAAACATTCGAATTGATTACAAAGTAGTATTTCAGTTCGTTTGACTGAATTCCGAAGTCAACGAAACAACGATAAAAAGGTTTTTGCGGTTTCAGCAAGGCCTGCCATAATGACTTGTAACTTCTGGGGACTTTTCAAATGCATGTGATTGTTTAAATAAATTTTAGAGCATTGACATGTGCCGTTCAATCATGGAAACGGTACTACATGGTGTACTCTACTATCATCCGATTTTGAACTCGCATACCATAGTGTTGGTAAAGCGTGATGAACGTGACTTGGACCTGTCCGCAGGAGCCAGCTTCCCGAAGAAGTTGTTTTAGAACCTTTGAGAAAAGTGCGATACCAGAATACGATGTTAGAAGGTGGCATTCACAAATGTTCTCAAAATTTGCTTCTGCTGGTAAATCAACCATGAATGTTGCCACAGCACATTGAGGAAGTACGAATTAAGGCAAGCTCAGTAGCAATCAAGACTTATATATCGCTGCTGCCACCTCAGCTCGAGATTGACATGCCAAAAAGAGCAGTCACCAATGTTTCATGTGATGCACGAAGGCTTGGAGAACACTTTTTTATTCACTGCCTTTAAGTACTTTTGCATTGTGACGATCATTATTCGAACAAACATATCGTCGGTCACTCTGAAACAACCCGTACACCACCCACATCACATTTCTGAGGCAGGAATCACTTCCCGCCCACCTCAGAAGACTGCTTGCATTGTGTAGTGTAGAACTGAAGCCGCAATTGCTCGCTTGCTTGAGGCCAAAAAATTTACGACCAGGATCCAGCACAAGACACAACTCAAGTGCGTGCAAGTGGTTATCAAATTTTTCTTGGCACTAAAAAATCACATGCAAAATTAGCAGTTTGTTTGGAACTGAAAGTGAGATGAAAATAGAGCTGAAGAGGACCACGAATTTTTTTGCCTTTTAGGAACATAACGTTCGTAAACGCAGGATTCTCAAGCTTGTATTTCGTTACGAAAGTACGAGAGATTCTAAGCATTAAAGAACAAAGTATTTTAAGAGACTTTCGGTAGTTGATTACTCTTTTCAACTGATAAGTTTGCATGAATTTGTTTGACTGCCTCACAGAGTTTACTTATTTGACCTTACAGAAGTGATAGCCTCCACACAGGGTTACATTGTGGATGGGGCTTCAGTTATGCGTTGGGGTCTGATTAGCATGTTTAGAGCTTTACCTTAAAGAAGAATACTTATACGCATAGTGTCCACATCATTGTGCAGAAAGTGGGTCGTAGAAATTTTGTAACATGACTATTTCCATGCTGAATTCAAGGACAGATTTTCTTGTTGGAATCCACTCGGTAATGCAATTCACAACTAGGACATTCTAAAGGGATCTGCTTCTAACGACCTCTGCAAACTCAGTTTATACCTGAATTCCACTGTCTCGACACAAGTAATCGTATTGATAAGAAGTCTTGCGATCTCCGAGGGAACCACTTTTCCTTAACGCCTAATCGAACTATACTGAAAAGAGCAGAAATTCACCTCAAAACAGAGTTGATTTGTCAAGTCACTTGGAGGTCACGTAAGTGTCCAATTTTATAAGTATGGTGAATGGTTCGAGCGCACTTTGCTGGTTAAACGGGGTAGGTTTGGCTCTGGGTGTCCAGTTGGGGCTTCGTGTTTGTAATTTGTGTCCGACTTTCTTTCCCAGAGAAATCCACCACGTAGATTTACCCACCGTTTGGCCGCACCCACTACGCTTTTTGTTTAAACCAAAATGAAATTTGGCCTAATTTTGGTTTGTAAAATCCACGGAACGGCTGATTCGATTATCCACTTCATCTACCTTAGCCACGCACGGCCGTTTATGACAACTCGAATGAATCTTGACAACTCTTCCTCTTTGTAAAAATAAAAATTATTATAACTTCTTCAATAAAAAAATTTAACGTCGCCTGAGTTATTCACAACTTCAAAATGCCTGGTGGAGAGCGTCCGCCCCAATTATTCTCAAGATAGTATGGAGGAAATTATGTAACCGCAAGGTACGACGGATGTGAGTTGGAAAGCATTAAACTTTCTAAGAATAAGTTGCGTTTAATTAAACCTTGTGGTTAAACCAAAATATTTAACCAAACCATGTACACAATGAGTAAATAAAAGTCAATGACCGCTCTCTCCTGGAGTAACGTCAAATTTCATATCTGGTTAATTGGAAATAATTAACGTGGGGCATTTTATTAATCTACTTTACGACAAATACCCCATATTCAAGACGTTGAAGGCCCGTAGTTCAAGATCCCATCACTATTTCCGCCAGGTCAAACTATCCATGGAACGTATAGCGTTTAATGAACTGAGTCCAATTTAAGCGAGTTTTATTATTATCTCCTACTTGATGTAGGTTGAGCTAGTGTAAGTTCCCCTTAAATTCCAGATTTTTGTAAATCCATGTTCCTCTCCTTTCAAAGACTTTGTGGCAGAAGAATTGCACTAATTGGCAGTGCTTGAAAAAGTAAAATAGTCTAATCACGTTTCTATATATCTAGATGCGCTTAGCATTAGGTCGTTGGTCACTTGATTTGCAGTAATCTCGAAGGCTGAAGATTAAATTTACTATTTTTTCCGCATTTCTCAAATGCAGTTTAAATTGGCTTCACTTCTAACTGATTTCTTCAAGTTGATCAAGAGGTTTGCCACGAAATAGCGTCAAGCTGACGCACCTCCATGAACAACAGTATTTCCACACAGGTTTTGCAGCTTACAAAACTGGAATTTCAGTGCTTGAATATTTAGGATCCATCCAAGAAAGCCAGGATCGTGTCATTTTTCACGCTTGAATCAGTCTCAGTTCAACTTTTGAGGTCTGGGCGGTGTGAATGGAAAAAGAGCAGAAAATTGTTAGAAATGAACTGAAGGATATTTACGGTATGCAAAGTGTCGCCTCCCCTGACTTCAGTCTCTCGGGAGGACATGAGTTATAAACCATATTACATCACAACACTGGAGAGCTGATGTCTACTAGTGTGTTCCAACTCCGCCGAAATAGGAAATTGAAAACAGCAGATCCACTTTTGATAGCGTACGAGCACTGTATCCTATCACTTACGAGTAGTGGCTTTATGTATTGGTGAGGTGTTTGGTAAATCGGACAAAAGGACATTAGTTTAGACCTTCCCTTTAGAAACTTGTACTGTTAAAAAAATTGTAGCAGAATGATGGTGTTAATTGGTTTAAATAGATCTGTCCAATTACCACAATTGTGGCCACTCACAGTAATACACCGTCCCATTTAAGCCTACAGATGGCCTAAGTTATTAAAGCTTGAAGTAAGAGCGTTGTTAGCGAATAGATAATTGGAGAGTGGAAAAGCCATGTGGTTAAATACAAGATAACCAGGTGGATATGCTTGTTTTAAAACTAACAAATAACTACAGAAAGAGTTTGTTATGAGATGCTGTTTTATGTGTGAGCACGGACACGATCGAGATCCTAACCTGAGTGATCAAAAGATAGGAGTAGGTGTTTCATAGCTAAATCGCTGGAGCTCCTAGATGGTCACCATGACCATGACAAAAGCACAAATGTCATTTTGTCTCACAAATCAGGCCGAAAGGAAACAACTGAAAGGCTCCACACCTTCATACGGTACCTGAAAGAAGTGAAGGAAAAGCGATGGTGTTTGTCATGCCTTAGTGCTTCACCTACATTGAACATTACTGAGAGGCTTTTGTAAAATGTCAATCTATGAAGATCGTCTTAATCAGTACCTTCTCAGCGTGATGCAGCAATACCCATCATTGAAGCAATTTGTGAGTGCCACATATTCTACCACCGCACCTTCCCCAAAGGTTATAAAAAACTACAAGAAACTAGTTCCTCCAACATTATAAACCGGCCTTAACTGGGCTTGCAAACCCCTCAAGCTCAAATCTCGTACACCATGTTTAACTAACATTTGATGATTGGATCGACTGAAGAACAAGATAGCAAAGGTTACAATGGGGATTATCGTACCGATGATAAACCGACACCCACATGCCCTGGTGGTTGCAAATAAACAATCACATCTACTTGACATACCTCTACAGGCTATACGTTGTCGCAGCAACCTATGTCAAAATCCGCATTGTGCTGGTGAGTCAGATAATCCATTCAATTGTGTGACCTCAAATGAGGCACAAAGTCTTTGAACTCGAATTTACAACACCTATTCGAGGTAAGTCAAATTGAAAACCTACTGCATTTCATTAACAATAAGGCAGTAAAGGAGAGAGAACAGCAATCCCAGAATGGCATTGACAATTGTATTTACTAAAGTTGACTGTAATGATAAAATTACACAATATCAACATTTGTTAAGTCGATATTTGTAGAAAATTTAGTACCTAAGACAAAAAATCATCAAGTCATCAAAAATGCCATCACCATTCAATGCCACCAACTTCTATTTGAATCTTTGAACCATCCATAGAAATCACAACGCTTAAGAATATGACTATTCGCAGTCACTCTGAGTTATACCTCCACGAAGCAGGTCACTTATTTCAGCCATGTAAGCCAATTTACAGCGAATTTATACGATTTTGCAAAAAAAGGTCATATACTTTAAGCACAGAGCAAGCACTGAGTTAATGGGGCGCAAAATAAATTGAAATTTGGACAGCCAAATTTACACCCCGTATGATTTACTTCCGCACGAGGACAGAACACAAAAATGCTCCCGGTCAGCTAAAAGCCTGTTTTTAACATTGCAACCTCATTTTTAGAAATTGATAACATTATTCAAGTGGGAACTTTTTGGGAACCAAGACCACAAAATTTCAGAAACTTTAGCAAACAATGGTAAGACACGCATGCTGGTACATTTTTAGCAGGTTCTGCGCTCCTTAAATAGTTTGAAGGGCGATGAATAAGTTTTTTGTTGCACATGCATGTATTATGTCGCAGAGAAGGCAACTGCTCTTCCAGTTTGGCGTGAGGGATGTCCAGTAAGGGAAAGTAGCAATCTATCAGTCTTTTTTGCGTTAAGGGTGTGCAGGAAGCAAAAATTCCATTTGGACAGCATATTTGATTGGCGTGGAAATATGGATCCTTCCCTCAGTCATCAATCCCTAATGGATGGGCCGAAGACTAAAAAATTAGCTCCACTGATATGGTGAATGCTGCCTACCGTAAATCAAATCGCTAGAAAGAGGAGGGAAACAGGGAACTAGGTTTACCCATTTCCTGAATCACAGTAACACAAGGTCCAACAAAGTAGGTCTTCAGAGCAGCTGGATGCATAGCATAGGACTTTCTCACTTTCTAAACCATCCAAAAGATATTTTCACTCAAGGATGTTTTAGTTTGTGGCACAAAAAGTCAACACGGCATTTTAAAAAAAACAATTTTACATGAAATTAACTAAGCAAAAAAATGTAAGCATGGAAAATAAGTTTTCAAAGGTACTGAAATATTTTGAACATCCCTCGTAGTAAATAAAAATTCATTTCACATTGTGTTTTTAGGATTGAGCACTCTTTTCTTTGTAATTAAAAGCTTATCACACTGAAAGTGACGATTCAAAATATCTAAAAGTTCCATTGATATGGCTTAAATTGCACAGCAGTGACCAATGAAGCCATGAGTTATTTCGTTGTTGGTGTTTTGCAAAGCAAGGCAGTCTACGTTTGGATAACCTAAGATGTGAACATATAGGGTCAAACCAGATGCGGTTTTGGGAGCTGAGTAAACTAAAATAAGCCATCACTTGGCCTCATCTAGTAAATCGAAGAGTAAAGTCCTGTCTGGAAGAGAGGTCTTTACTTAGGCAGGCAAGGAGGCGATACATAACTCCATTAAATGCATCTGAGAATCAGATTCAGTGACAATTGTGAAGTCCATATGCAGCACAGAGTTTTTGTTCCATCACTACTCAACAATGTAAAACTGTAGTGTACAAATGCTTTATTTTTATCTATATCTTGCCTTCATTTAATGCAGCTTTCCTTATTTTAACGTGTTTGCAGCTACTCAGGTCATCGTTTTCACCTCCGTTTCATCGCAAGAGCCTGAAAAAGAACCCACTTTCCTTAAGAGCACGCCATACAAATATTTGCCTCTAAACTAAAACAGTGTTTCAACGAAAATGCATGCTAAAAGATCAAGTCTAAACTGAAGGTATCTTGCTTCCAAGGAATCGAATGTGCACATTGCATCAAGTTGCATTTTTAAACGAAAATTTTTCCTTTTGATTAGATGAGCATATGTTGTGGATAAATTATCGAATCAATTGATGGTAGATTTTAATTTCTAGTAAGGAAGGTGAAAATTGGTCTAAATTCGTACCAACAACACCTAGTTTCCCCATAAAGACTTTGTTTTCTAAAATAATGACGATCTAACCCAATGACGGTCAACAACTTGGTATAATTTGGGCGATGCATAATGCAAATAGGCACAACCATCCTAAGGATGTTTCAATGCCTGAAATCATAGCAACACAGAACACCAAAATACCTATAGAAATAAGGGCACCATTTACCAAAAAAGCACACACATAAGTGAGCTCCAACAAGCGTAACATTTACTCCATGTAAATAAATGTACCTCCGGGTAAGTTCCTCATTCATGTGTGCTACTTGCGAAGAACACTTAATGAATTATTTACAGAATAACATGTGACTGTGTACTAGCGCGTACGTAGCGATTCGAATACACTGTTTACAGATGACTAAGCTGACATAAAATACTCAAATTAAGTAGGAAAAAAGACGAAGAAAAGGCGGAATGACTTACCCGACCAGTAGTCCTTTCGCTTGAAGCAGGCATTCGCATTGTGACGCAATAGCACTCTGGTCGACTCAAGATGGTCCAGAGTGACGCTAAGCATCAGTGGAGTACGACCATGTGGGTCCAGTGCCTCTATGTCATACTGCACAGGCGAAAATGAAAATAAATCTAAGAGCAATGCGTTTCTACCTTCTTCTGAAGCAACAACTCCTCAAGGTTCAAGTAGTCGTTCCTCCAAACTTGGTAGTGTAGAGGATATGTATCAGCGATTTCCTTTTCCAACATGACTTATGTCTAAAAAACACTGGAAGATCTTACAGGAACAACCATACAGGGTCAATTCGGGGTAAGGTAATCATGAGTGACCAAGTTCTATTCATGTATAATCAGCGTGTTATAACAACAACAATAATAAGCATCAAGGAAAAGTACATAACCTTTTACCAGAACATTCTGAATAAAAACAATTGTAGGAAAGTGAAAGGTTATTGGTACAAAGTTGTCGTCCCAAATGTAAGAAACGTCATGTAAAAATGTAACTTGTCAGTGAAAATGACTGAGAAAACGACTTGCATAACAAATAGAGTACGGAATTTTACGGCGAAATAAGCCAGGATTATAAATGAAAGTTCGATTGTATCTAGAGCATATGGTGGCACCAGACACGTCTCACTGTAAGCGCATTTTAATGAACACTTTGAGTACGTCAAAATCATCTAAAATCTTACGAGTTCTGGAAAATACCTAATAAAGTATGAGCAGCACCGCTATATACTCGCCCCCCTAATCAATTGTGTGGCAAAAGCTACCTTATGTGTTGAAAACAAGTGATATATCTAAACAAAAGAGTCCCACACTGTTTTGAGAAATGAATATTTGTCGTAAAATTTAGAAACTGCACTTATTATTTTGCTGGACTTTTAAAATCGCAATTTTTAGAGAAGTGTATAAATATGCTGATTTAGAACCTCAAAATGATGCTTCCGAGTGCATACTGATTGCAGTTCTTGAAGTTTAGAAGTCGTAATAAGTGGAGTAACATAGGAGCCGTATAAACTTGTGCACTTACAAAAATCTTTGATTAGCACTCCCTAAAGACCACATGGCAGAACTGACGATTTTCTTCTCAATGTGAACACAATATCCACTTGGAGCCATAACCAACTATGCCGTAGCGTACCGGCACTCCCTGAAGACAAAAGAAGACAAAGTACTCGGGCAGAATACATATATTTAGCGCAGAGAAGGTGTCTGGGCTATTTTCATGGCCCAAAAGGCCAGCCCACCCCAGCGAGATACAAGAGGGCTAATTCAAAGTACAAAAGTGGCGCCTCACCAATAGCGAGGGATAAACCACTATCGTATTGCAATGTTTAAGGTGTTTTTGAGTTCATTTCCATAATGATCTTAGATTGTTTTTAAACCCATGATTGTGGTGGTTGATTTGCTTGATTTGCCTTATGTTGCTTCGCTGCTCTCAGATTGCTGTGGATGATTTCTTTTACCAAATTTTAACTTTAGCGGAAAACTGTTATTATGGTAAATTCACCTATTTGCTCTGCCACAACGTCTCTATTCGGAAATTTCAGTGGCTCATTTTAGGCAATTTGGAAAGTGAGAATAATGCCTACTGCTATGCCATTTGATGCTTGCCGTTGGATTTAGCATCCACGATAAATATTAGAGCAAAGGAGAATTTCCTACTTTTTCCCCTAAAAATGACACCCACTTAGTTTATCCCGTCCTGGCGTATATCCTACTTTACCTCATAAGTAGCAATGATCGACAAGTCTTAAAGAGAATTCACTTCATTAGTCAGCCCTAAAAAGGCTATCTTGCGAGCTCATAAATTCGATACTTTTAGAAGGACTGACCAAGATTGCAACCAAGATGGAAGTTCCTAGTATCCTAATGGCACTTTTTTACAAAACTAACCACCAAATCAGACTAGTTTTCTGGAAGCCCAGTTACCATTCATTAGGCTCTGTTTAAGTGAAAATTTCACTTTAGCTGGAAAAGCAAACACACAGGATGATCGAAAAGCCACATGTATGCCTTTACCAAAATCGCCTTTCCATTAGTCATAACCCATGAGGTGAACAATCATCTACCTATCCCAATCAACCATAGGGATGAAATGTTCGGGCTCGCCCGTATTAGGCGATTATTCCAGGTACAAGAACAGATGGCGAGCATTTGCGCTGTAACAACGCACATTGAGAGTACAGCAGTGCACCCACGCATGCACGCACGTACGTCCATGCACTTCCCATTGGCCAGTGCGGTTGATGCATATCGATCGGCTGTTTGGCAGTCGCGTGCGCACGGCTCTGGCGACCGCGTGCACACGCGCAACGCCTTTGCCAAAATCGGGCTTTTCATTTTGGGCAGCGGTTAGCGCCCTCTTTTTCTTCCCCCCTGTTTTATGCTAAAGAAAAGTACTGCGCCACCGCACTGTGAGGATGTGTCCCGCTTGTAGAAAGGTAGAGTATGTTCTCATGGCTGTAGTATCCCAATTTGGCCTACAAACTGAGCTGTCATGAGCCATTTTTAGCAAGGCGGAAGATAACGGTAACGCCCATTTGGTGAGTCAATGACTCACTTGCCAGAGGCGTTGAATTATGTAATTTTTAATAGACACGCCTAGCAACTGTGGCAAAACCGTTGGCGCCTAGTCGCTAGCTTTCTAAAATAACTGGTGCGAACACACGGTCTCTGAAAGTTATCGAATTCAGGTCCAAAGTTCATAGCCCACCACCGGCCAAATTTACGATACTTATGACAGTCGTGTTTGGGCATTACACCGTGTAAACACCCAGTGATGACTGAAGGAGTGAAACTATTCATGGAACATTCGGAATGTAAACGACAATTGTTCACATATTACAAAAGCTTCTTTTTTTTTAATTAAAAATTAAGTCCAAATGACTAGAAATAAGTATAGTAAGTAGTATAACTCACAGATGGGTTAACACAGGCGGAACCTTAAGTTGTGGGAGATAATTTGAAATTTTTGTGCGAACTCATGATGAACTCCGAGGGATATTTGTTGTAGGAAGAAAAGCGACCTGTGAGTTGCATTCTGCACCTACTTCTGTGGCAAAATTTAACTTAATGGCTTTTATCGATTAATTGGAGAGATTTACATTGATTAACTAAGTCGAGGTCAATATTTGTGGGTCACAAAGGTGACTCATGCAATTCGATTTGACAAACAATAGGTCGAATGAAAGTGGGTAATGAAAAGGCGGATACGCTTTCAAACACATGGAAATGGAGTAAATTTTGCAGAAGTTACCAAGTTTGAACTGGTAGATGTTAAAATACTTTGCATTGTTTTGAATACTTTGTTTATTTTTCAGTTTTGATTACTCAATGGAGGGGGATTTAAGACTCAGCAATTGTACTTTCGCTTGGCGCAGTGGTCTCTAAGCCACGCTATTGTCTCCACTCCAGACCTTATTGAAAACTCGGGATACTGCATTAGTGGGAGAGGAAAGCTACCTTTATTTCCATGGCTGCTGTCTAAACTTTAATATTACGGAAGAAGGTCATATGCCGTGGACGGGAGAATATGTGACGACTTCCTAGCAGAAGGTTTGAAAATGCCGTTACCTACGGCGACACCACCTGTAGTCGTGAACCATCTGGAAAAGTCTGTCATGGAGCTGCCCATGGTACCTGAATTCAGATGTCAATGAAGTAGTCACGCCATCCCTCTTCATCCACCTCTGGATATAACCCAGATGTGTGGATATGGCTGGGCAGCACTAAAGTGAGAACAAAATGTCAAGAAGGAATGGGCGCGAAACCCGATTCCCACTGACTCTGCTTTTAGGCGAGTATTCTTACTACCTCCCCTAATGCATTGTCCGCACCAGGGCGAAATTCCAGATACAGTAGAATTGCCAGAGGGATCAGTAACGTTGACGTCAGATATCTTTTCAGTTAAATGCAAATTCGGTGACTGGCGTGATTGGCTCATGGGTGCGTTTCCTTGCAGCACCGACTACGCTGAGGTGACAGACGTGGGGAGCCGACCGGGGAGGGGGTGGGCACCGGGTATGACGCGCAAAAGGAGAGTTGCGGGCTACGCAATACTTTGATTGTTTAACCTCCCAACTTGGTTTCGCGGAGGGGACTGAAGGCTTCGCCTTTTTGCTTTCGCTCGATGGTATGGCATTCACGGCCCGTGTGAGAGCCTCTGGACGCTGCATTTCATTCATAGTGTTACGAGTTTAACCAAATCTAACCAACTAAGCATCATTATGTGATGTCTGTATAAAACCACTCTTGAGAAAATTTTTTTGTTCATTTTATACTGATGATCTGTATTTGCTGAAGTGTCACGCTCTTTTTCAAAAAAATCCGCCACAACTTTGACTCGCATCCATTGTTGTTGAAGGTGTCGTTATATTGCTTTCAAAATTAGGGGTCCAATCGACGACTTATTTCTTTGACTAAATGTCATTTCAACGAGACGTCAAATCGCTTATAAGAAAAAGGAACTATCCTGCCTATTGCAAATTTGTGTAAGCACAGGAACATCGAGAAAACCCTGATGCCTCAGAAAAGCATAATTTTTCCTCAAGAAACAATTGAAAGGCAACGTGAGATGTCAAGTGCCTCAAAGCCTGATTTTATCGTCAAAACTATTGCTTAAAAGGGGGAAACGTAACTTTGAAAATTTGAAGATATTTGATGACTAAAAGGTGTTGGGAGCACTTGCCCTCACAGCTATTCGACCCAAGTATGCGCTCAGAGGCTCCCAGCTTCCATGTCCCTCATCCGGGGTCACTTAGATTCGTTTGGCATTGAATGAGAGTCGCCGATAATTGAACCCAGCACGTTGGAAGTCCAAATTTCAAAGGCTGCGTCGATCATTTGTCACCACAACCTTACTTAAACGAAAGGGCACGAGTGAGGGACACTTTAATGCTCACTCTACCTTATATAAGCACCTATCTACAGTCGAGGGGAAAATGGAGCTATTCCAACCCCAAGAATTGCATTTTGCAGGCTTTTCCCCTTAAGTATGGAGCAAATCGCATTCTTTGGCCATTTTAAACAGACTACATCTAGGCGGCAGTTCCCTTCTAGCGGATCTCATTTATCATGTCAAATGACTAATTCCTCACTTGCAATGTCATTTCCTTTATTTGGCTCAATTTTACACCGAAGCAAGTAGGCTGAAGTGTATGAAACCTCGCATTCCATCTTTGGCATTTACAAGATGGAACGTGTTTGTTTACTTCAACTGGTATTTAAATTTCCCTGTAACATTTTTGGACGAGTAACTTCACCATGTTAGGGACCCGAAACTCCCCTTACGATCGGTCCTATTTCTACCAAACTCAGTCTTAAGTGTTCTTATACACGTTCCCCTTCCTGAGAAGAAAGTGGAGACGTTAAAAAGGGGGCAAAGACGTGGAGGCTAATCAAATAAAAGGTGTCACTCTCAAGCCCTTGAACTAACAAGGACATTCTACTGCTCTTCTAAATTGCCACGTTGCTTAACAGTTGCTTTGCTGCTGCTGATTCCATGTAACGACTTAGGTCTTGGATGCTCAACTCTCCTGGCATTGGTAATCATGTCCTCAACCAAATCACTTTTAAAACATTAGGAAGAAATATAAGATCGCGGACATTCCACGACAAAGATATCGAGTGGTGCATCAAAGGGTTAACACGCCGATCTCTTCAACTAATCCCACCACCGTTCAAATGTGACACTCCACCATCAAAGCGCCTAGGGCCTGACCTTCTTCAACTTTTTTGAATCACTCCACCTTGAGTTATCAATTTCGATCAACCTAACCGATTCCGTAGTTGCCACAGTCTCACTTTTACCAGTCGAGTCGCTGTTCACCTCCAACCCGTCCATCAGCGAGCCAGCTTTTCGGTTCTTTGGCTAGCCACACACCCGGTCACACCTCAATGGTGATAAGCGAATAATCCATCCGTTTGAACACTTAATTCCAAAGACATAATCGTTACAATGAAACTTACCGTTCTGAATTCACCGTCCAAACATCTGCCCATCTCGGAAAGGGAGTAGTACAAAGACCGCTGAAAGAAGGTATCCCCTTTCTCGACTAGCTAGCAAAAATCAACAAAATGGTTCATCTTTTAATTGGAAATGCGGCTCGAAGCCATTATGATCTGTAGCCACTACGACCCGCCGTAAATGCGCATAACCTCAACGGTCGAAAATTATTTCTAATGAAATTGGCCCTAGGGGATTTAAGGTCAGAAATGCAAAGAGGATCTCACTCAAGTGTTTATTTCACGGGCAAAATACCACTGGCGTGAGGTTGACTTGCCCATCTATACAATCACTACTACCTGAAAATTACTGAGGTACCAGGCTGTCATACTTTTAACCCATAGTAATATGAGGTGCCCCTGTCCTTTACAACACCTTGGGAGAGCAAGCATCATCGTATTGAACCCCCGATCCTCCACTAAAAGGAATGAGATGGAGTCCAAAGTGCCCTCCCCCACTCAGTCATTACCGTCCTCGAAAGAAAGTGAAACCGCAGACACTCTAAAATGCATATTTTCTTTCTTTATTAATTCACTCAGTAATTAAAAGGCATGGTGGCGATACTTGCTGTAGTGGTGACAACGAAGAAAAGGTGACCACACAACATAACCTAAAAGCAGGAGTAATTGCATCATCATCACTTGAAGGACCAGAGGCCGGGCAGAACGAGAGAGCAATCAGAAATAGCACGAAAAGTTGCCGGGAAGGAAAAAAGTCAGGAAAGAATCCGATCAACAGAATTTGAACTAAGTGGGGAGAGGGGAGGAGAGCAAAAGCTGGGCAAAAGCAAACCACAAGGAAACGAACTTGGTTGCGAAGCGAGGAGGAGGAGAAGGAGGAATTGAGGATGTGGAATAGTCTACTTCTGGAAGAGTTGTTGCGTGAATCCCATGTAGTCGTAGGCGTCCTGCACAGGTTGACCGCTTTTCGTGTAGTAGGGTGGCATCGTTTGAGCACAATAGTCGGCTTGCTCCTTTGACAGATTCTGCAAGTATTGGAGTAGAAAATCACATTGTACTCCAGATCATGTAAAAACCAATTCCAAAAAGGAAATATCGAAATTGATAATTGGTGAGAAAGAATTGAGCAGTATAAACTTTGATTAATTCAGTACTGTTACTTATAAATTTGATTCGTGCTCCCAGCACCGTTCTCAACTAAGAGAGCACTCCCAATAACCAGAGTCATCTTCTGGTCCTACGATAAAATGCTGAGGCAGAGATGGAAAGGATTAACATTCCAATGAAACACCCAATGAAATTCGACAAGAGATTCCGCACATGATAGGATTAGTAGCAGAGATGAAAAATCGAGAGTCGCTCAAGCGTCACCTACGTGAATGGCATAATTTAACCCACTCGCATTCACTGCGCTGCATTACTGGAGTGGTAGGAGGAAAAACCATCCATTTGCTACCGCTTAAAGGATTCGATAGCAGTGGCACCACGTGCATTTTAATTACACTCCCCTAGAAAAAAAGGACACGCAACTGCTGCCTTAGCTCATCCTCCTACACTGCTGATACAAGCGAGTGTGAGAGAGCACATGCATCGCATGAGAAATGACGACGATGCAAAAGATTGCAACCTCTACCACACAGCCTTGATTCTTTTGAGTCAATTGAGAACATAGGTTGGAAGATCGCTAACTGACAAAACAACAGCGAAAACAACTCGAACAAAATCAGTCAGAAGTTAAAATATTCAATTGCACCCTGCCAGGTGACTCGGGGTGGTCGTAACACCATGATCAAAAAGTAATTCACAGTGTGTCCTTTGAAACAGCATGGCATTTAACACATCCGTTATCAAGCCCTAAATAGATCGCCAGCAAATAATCCTCATTGTACGCATTTTACCTTTCAAGACGACTAAGAATAGAATTTAACCTTTCAAAAAAGTAGATGTCACATTGAAGCCGAAACTAGGGGAATAACAAAGGCGGAAAATCAAGTGTGATTCGATTATTCGCAAAAGCGAATTTGACGTAAATACCAAAGCCAAAACAAGCTGATGATAAATCCCGAAGAACAAGCTTGACATTAAAAAAAATATCAAGGCAATTATTAAAAGATTCGATCACGCCAGTAGGCGCTCAGAAATTAATAAATCTTAAAGAAAGATGTCATTTAGATAGTGAAATTTCTTATGAAAAGTGAATTAGTTACCCACAGCCAACCAGAAAGGTCACACACAACACATTTCAAGAATCTGGAGATTCCACAGTATGACTTACGGCGTAGAGCTCCTCCTTGGTGATGTAATCCTTCGTGCCATCCTTGGTGAGAGAGCGGAAGGCCTCCTCCACCTCATCTCGAGACTGCACATTCTCCGTCTCTCGACTGATCATAAAGGCCATAAATTCCTGCAGCGTGATGTAGCCATCTCGGTTAGGGTCGACGACAGCCAAGATGGCCTCAAATTCCGGATCGGGCTGGTTTTCCTCCACCAACTGGAGGTCGTGGCCCAGGGCGCGTAGACACGACTTAAACTCGCGATGATCCAAACGACCCGACTTGTCTTTGTCAAAGTGCTTAAACATCATGGAGAACTCACGCAACGCCTCCTCGCTTACGCCCGAGACGTTGCGCGCTTGGATCTGCTGCTCCAGATTGCGCTTCATGCGCACCACCAGCTGCTCCAACTGGTCCCAAGTGTGGCTCAATCCCACCTGAGAAAAGAGAAGGCAATTTACGTTACCGCAAGAGCATTAGTGCAAATCAGTTACACTGAATTTGTTTCGGTATTCAAATGACTTACCGTCAACACTCCAGAACTGCAAAACTGATTAACTAACTGATGGGGAATATCACCTATTAACTTCGCTTGATTACCAAGCTCATGTTGTTAATTTACACAGCTGACTCGTTTCATAAAAAAATTCTGTTAAAATCGCTTCGCCATTTACAATGGTAAACTAGCACGATCCTAATGGCTGAAAGAGAAAGTGCAAGACATGCAACTTCAAAGAAGTTAAGGGGAAACAGCTACAAAGGTCCCCTCGACATTCGAATGATGTGCCACTGAAGCTCAATCTCAATCCAAAGCTGATGGTTAAGCCAAACAAGTTAATATCATCAACGCTTCCCACGAAAACCAGACCGATCGTTTACAAACTCCTAAACTATTAAAGCAGTGGACGAAGTTTGAAGTTTACTACGGAAGGGTGGCACTGATACAGCTGCCTCGGTGAAAACGTTACGGAGGCAAAACACATCTTCAATCCTTTCTTAAGAAACAAGCTATAAGAGCAAATAAACCCTTCGAGAGTTGGAAGTAGGAGAGATGCTGAACGTCTCTATGCAGATTTGACTTCAGCTTCTGTACTTTAGAAGGAATGGTGTAGTGGTGATGTAAAAGCGCACCAAATCCGTTTCCCTCAAAAGCTGAAACCGAGAACCACTTATTGCCCACAACGGTTGGTTCCAAACCATTTTATGGTTTCAAAGATTGATATAAATCAAATTCGGAACGCATAACAGCCTAGAAATAACAGGAGTCGAAGTCACCTCACAAACTACCGGTGGTTATTTGAGGCATTCAGTTGCTTTGACCCTCTAAAACGAAAACGTGAAGAAATGAGAGTCTATTGATGCTTGATTCTCCACAACGACCGAGCACCGCCTTTGTGCACGACTATTGAACGCGGGACAAAAGGGGAGGTCCGAAAAACTAAGAGATGACTGTTAGTGGGAGTCTAAATAAAAAATATCTCAACACTGTTTCCGTACGACCTAATTAAGATGAGTTATGAGTAGATTCTGACGTTACTTGGAAAATTCTCTTCGCCGATTTGTCAATTTTCTGGAGACTCCCAAACCTGCTACAGATTGAACACATTCCCTTTGGATGGTTACTTTGAAGCGGAAGTCAACCGCTCCTAGTTATCGCTAATATTGCGGGCTGTATAGCCTTGTAAAAGTGTGAACTGACAGAAAAGGCGTGGAAACACGGACGACTTGAAACAGTGGATGATGGTGTGAGACTACAACAATTATAACTTCCACAGACCTTAAGGGAGATTTCCAACTTTATTTTCACCTCCAAAGGTAATAAATTTGCATAGTATTGAAGCACACCCCAAAAGCCAACATTGAACCGCACGAAAAGGTGCACAAAAATTCGGCTCCTACGACAAATGGCACACACAAGCCCAACTACCGCTGTGCACCTTGAATGTCAACTACAGGTAAGCAATTTCAATTACTAAATCCACGATCACGAAAAATTCGCACAATCATCCAACACTGTCAGGCGTGACAATTATATCAACCGGCCCTGACATCGTAATTAGTGGCTGAGGCCACTATGGAAGTTTGAAACGTTAACACAAATCCCATTCCTGCCACTGATTTGAGGTGGTCAAAATATTTTAGCGATATCGATAACAGCTTCCGTACTTCTAACCTTTCACTTCCTAGAAAATATATAACACCTCTTACGGTAGCAAAAACATGTCAAGACCGGTTCCACGTCCATTTCACGACCACGACAACATAAATTCAGCTTCCATAGCCCACACAGCCATACGTGCTTGACCATTACAAAAAGGCAGACTCAGAACCCCAATCTACTGACTCAGCAAGATGCAATTCCGTGCTCTCTCACATAGTTGGAAGCTAGCCAAGAACAAAACTGCCAACTAGTGGTTGCAGCAGCAATAAGAGGCATGCGTGTGTATGCGGGAGAGCACAAACACTTACGGTGCTATGTTTGGTGTAGCGGTTGTCGAGAATGAGACGCTCTTCAAGCCTCGCGCCCAACTCCTCAATCTGCTTCAACTCCACTTTACGCGAGCGGATCTCCACCGACTTGGCCTGGATGGCCTCCAACTGTTCCTCTAGAGTCCCCGTACCCTCCATCAACGAGTTGCGTACCGACTATCCAGTGGAAAAAGGATATTAGAAATTAAAAAGTTGAACTTTACGCAACGGACATCAGTGCTAACAGTTTTTAATATTCTTGGACACTTAAATCACCCCAAAAACCTATTTTCGAAACAAAATTTAATGCAACTGATAGAAGTGGAACGTCAAAGCGTGTTCCATTGATTAAAGCTCCATCAAAACGGACATCGATTCTGACCATTCGTGGTCCAGATTTTATGCGAAAGAAATCTGTAAAATAAAAGAGATACCTTCCCTCTCGACAATTGACCCGCAGAGACTGAACCTCCATGCTGCAGTTATCAGTGCTATCACGATCCTTGAACTCTTCATTGTAGTTAAATAAAACTTTTCAGACAAAATAAGGCATATCTAGCCTCTCAGTTAACCTTGGAACACTCAACAAAATAGGAGGCCAAGATTTTAGAAAGGGGCTCAAGAAAATTGGTAAAACTTTTCTTCCCTTACGTGGATACCAAAGCAGACCACAATACTTGCATCTCCACATAATTCATGTCAGTTGCAACCTATTTTTCAAAATCGTCGAGTTGACGATAACCATAACATCTTGTGCTCGGTGGAGTAAAGGTAACGAGGTTCCCCTTCCTTTCTTCCGCCTGTGCGTCGAAAATACATATTCTGTCCGGGCATTATGACTTCTTCCGGCTTCAGAGAAGTCTAGGAGCACTACACAGAATATTATAGAATATTTGAAAGGCTGGACTGACAGAATGAATGCCCGTCCTTTGCAAATCATTTTTGGTAAGTCTTTATAAGAACGAAACTACTCCCTTTCCCGCGTTAGTTAGTACTGGTGGATTGTAGCATGTTTTGGGAAGACACATCAATAGAAGAGAGAAACCCAATTTCTACCCTTCTCAGAACCAGTTGGTATTGGGCCTGTACGCTTGGAAATACGCAACTACCCAATAGTCAGTACTGAATTATACGGATTTTTGAGTCCTCACCTCCCTACCTCCCATCCTGAAGGAAAATCCCACGAGTGGGGGCAAATGAGAACGAGAACTATGCTGAGCTGGGAGACCTAGCACATCCGTTGGCTAAGAATGACGTCCGGTTTTGCTCAAATTTACTGCAAATCCTCTGAAATCGTCTTATTTACCGTAAAAAAAATAGAAATTCGTAATTTGACGATAAAAACTTGAACTGACAAAATCTTGGAGCACTCGATCAGTTCTGCCCAAGTCTACTGTCGACAAAAACCCACGACTTCACCGCCGTAGACAAAATTATTCCCAGCATTAAAGCAGCATTGCCCACCTGTAGCCAAGCATGGAAACTGTTGGCAGCAGCGGCGAACTCCTGACGCAATTGATCATTCTGCTCCTGACGAGCCAATTCGCGCCTAAGTTCCTCATCGCGCTCCTGAATGATCTTCTGAAGATTGCGCCAAGTATCCTCAAGAGCGACCATATTAAACCAGGTGTAGGGATTCTCTTCAACCTACAGGAGGGTACGCAACACCGATAAAAGTTTATTGTACTTTAAGTGCCCATCAAGAGAGTATGGTTTCGACCAGGCTTACACCATAGCCTTTGATCTCCTTATCCAACTGGCGCAGACGCTGAAAGTCGGTTTCAGCGGGCTTCAAGGAGGCCTTGAACTGCTCTTGAGCCTCAACAAGGGCGCGAATCTCATCCAGAGAGTTGCATCGCACGGGGTCGGTGAGGTCCTCCTCCGCGTTCTCGAACCACGAGTTGAAGGTGGAGGCACGCTTGGCAAAGTCCAGATAGAGCTCCTCCACCTTCTTGTACTGGCTCTGCAACTGCAGCAACTCGTTCTTTCGACGCTCGGATTCACTCTTCAAGCGCTCCCAACGACTTATTAGAGTATCAAACCTAGGCGAAGAGAAACATATTTCAGGGGAAAAAAGAGAGTAAGAGAAGAGCAGGTCCGCAACTTACCTCTTTTGAATAGCCTGTGATTGGACGTGTTTTGATTGGATGAGCTGATCATGGAGTTCAGTTATAGTCTTTATGCCCTCGGTGCGGAAGGACTCCAACGCGGTGTCAAACGTCTCATGTTTGGTCAATAGAGTCTGCACCGAGCTCAGATCGCGTCCATAATCTTCGGAGCGCACCTGAGCCTCACGATCGGCAATCCACAGCTCCACCACATCTGTTTTCCACATGAACTGAAGGAAGGCGTGGTTATCCAGCAGAAGGGCCTTTCGACGCTCTGCATTGCGCACCAACACTTCCAACTTCTCGCGAAGACCCTCGCATTTCTGCTCAATGGCTACTTTGTTATGGTTGCCACGCTCGATCAAATCCATACCGGCACGGCATATTTCCTCGCACTTCTTTTGGTGAACCTAGACAGAAGAAAGGACAGTGACTGACTTGTACTTGGTGTGTTACAAAGTGAAAGTCAATTTTCTACCTTCAAATCAGCTTCAAAGGCCTCATGTTGTTTGACCAGGCCTTGAACAGCTGCAGAGGTGTCGCCGTGGTCATCGGAAGATAGAAGATGCTGCTTCTCCAAAATCCACGCGGTCTCCTCTTCAACAGCGTCCAAGAAGTCTTGGTAGTCTGAGGACTCGTCCAATCTGCGGTCGCGGTTAGCGGTCAAGGTTTGCAACTCCTCCCATGCCTGGTTTAAGTGCTGCATTGGGTGGAAGCAAAAAATTTTAGAAAGTTTAACTGTCTAACCAATGGATGACATGATTTTAGACTCCAAATGGATCTCCTGGTGCTGGATGAACAGACCACAAGACAGAAAATGGGTAATTAAAGAAGAAAGATAAGAACGTAAAAGAATACCTAGCTGTAAGAAGTCACTTAAGTGCCAAAAAGGCTTTTACACGCCGTTGAACAATCGGTGTAGTTTTAAAAGTACTTTTGAACAATTTTATTAATATTTTTGACGAATGACAATGGCGTTACAAAAACAAGTCATCTTAACATAAAATAGTGATCAACCACATTTGAAAGCTACTTTGCCTCATTCTGGTAGGTAATTGCTTTTGATTCGACATTAGATGTCAAAGAACTAAGTGTGATTTAGAAGAGTTTAAATCTGCAAATCTACATTAACGAGAAGGTGAAATACCTACCGAGCAGTCTAGCTGGAAAAACCGCAAAGCACACGAACTACAAAACTAACGACTGCAATTGTACGCCACTGATATGCCGATTTTGCTGGATTAAACTGAATTCAAACGACTAAGCACATTACTCCACACTGTAGTAGGGAGATTACAATAGACAAGTTCATCCGATTGAAAAAAATGAATGTCCGTTATCACGTTACCCTTATACTGACACTATCAAGCGCGTGAACCTGGTTTGACCTCTACACACAACCTAGTTAACAGATCCAGCGACATGAGATCACCGTGTAATACTATGTAAATTCACGCAAAACCGAAAATAAAAAGAAATAATTTGAAATCAGAACTCACATCGATACGCCTTTGGATTTCCACCGGATCAGCCAGCTCCGTATTTGACATGAGCTCTTGGCCCTGTTGAGTGACCTGGTGTACCGCAGGCTTGTGCGCGACAATCTCAGCCTCGAGGCGCTTGTGCTTCTTCTTCAAGTTTCTCACACTAATCAAGTCACGCCCATAGTCCTCCGAGCTGACGAGAATCTTCTTCTCCCTAATCCATGCCTCCTCGTCGTCCAAATTACGGTAAAAGTCGTGCAGACACTTCGCCTTACCCAAAGTGATCGCCCGATTCTCAGATAATGCGCGGATCTTCTCGTAGCGCTCATTGATCCATCGCTTGCGTTCCTTGATAGTGTCTGCATCGATAGCCCCCGCGGCGTAAAGCTCATCGGCTCGGGCATTCAGTTCGGAGATTCGATCCTCGTGAGCTTGAATATCGGTAGTGAGGACCTGATGCTTAGAGAGAAGGCTATCCACCGATGCAGAGTCCTTTCCATAATCCGGGCTGGCCAATGAGGCCTCCACTTCACCCAACCAAAACTCAATGTCCTTCACACTGGCATTGTAAGCCGCTTGACGATTGGCCTCCTGCAGCTTAGCCGATTTCTCCTCAGATCGCCTTATCAGGTCCTCCCATTGGTCCGCCAATTTGGTCAACCGTTCCTCAACGGCGTTCTCCTGACCCTTGCACTGACCCTTCTCAATCAGGCGTTGGCCGGCCCCGAGGATGGCTTGTAGACGTTCTGCGTTTGCGGCTAATTCTGCCTGGAAGGCTTGATGTTTTTGATGCTTAGCCTGCACGTTAATTGTGGGATCTTTGTAAGAGTCATCCATAGTAGCCTGGAGCTTCTCGTTGATCCAGATCTCCATCTCATCAGCATCGCGAAGGAAAGCCTGCAAGGTTTGCACATCGCCCAGACGACTCCTGTTCTCAATCATGGCCTGTTTGAGCTCCGCCCAGCGTCCGAGGACTTCCTCACGCTTCGCCTGTATCCCCAGAGCGTCATAGTGACCCTCAGCGAGAAGGGCACCTGCCGAGGCGTCCAGAGCTTGAATCTTCGCCTCCTGTGCAGTAATGGCACGGTTGAAGTTCTCATGCTTCTTGATCAAAGCGTCCACCTTGTCCACGTCATCACCACTGGTGCCGACAAGGGAGGACTCGCGCATACTCATCCAATCCTCAGCCTGTTCGCAGTCACGTAAAAACTGCTGCTGTTTCAAGTTCTGCTCCAATTCCTTTTCACGATCCTGCCAGGCTCTATGAAAATAGAAACAATTTATCCTCCAAACAGTTCCTTGGTAGTCAGCAATCAGAAAACACTGCAAATTACTTGAGAAGATTGTCTCTAGCCACACGGGTCTCCTCAATGCGTTTTTCAATTTCAGGACTAGCGTAGTGCTTGTTCTCCACTAGCTCATGCCCAAAAGCGTCAAAGTTGTCGAAGGTGCCGGCACGGGCATCGATTTCGGCGCGGTGTTCCTGATGGCGTTCAATTAGAGCCTCGGCTCCGGTCACATCAGTTGCAAGATCGTTGGAGGAGACGAGGGCATTCATCGTGTTCATCCACGACTGGAGATCACTGCGGGAATAAGAGAAACGGTTACCTTCTTGTCAGCTTGATCTTAAGAGACGGGAGCAAAGGGTAAAACCAACCGTCCATCAGCAAGGAACTTCTGCAAATCGAGGGAGTCCAACAACTTGGCTTTGCGAGCCTCGGCCTTGGCTGTGAGGTCATTCCAGGCTTGATTGATCTGCTCCTGGTGCTGACAGATGCCCTCAGCCTCTTGCGGATGCGTCTGTGCTAAATCGGCAGCCTTTACATCGAGCTGCTTGACGCGATCACCAAGAGCAACGAGATCGCGCTCAAGGGCATCGTGTTTTCGAATAAGGCGTTGGACCGAGGTAAGGTCTTTGCCAACATCATCAGTAGTTAGCCGAACATCCTTCTCGTCAATCCACTCCTTGGCTTCATCACAGTCACGGTGGTAGCGTTGCACCGCGTTGATGTCATCCAAATTCTTAACTTTCTTCGTAGTTACCTCTTCAAGTTGTTCGTATTTCTTCTGTAACTGCATTATGATACCCTCAATCTTCTCCACGGCCTCGGTCTGACCACCGCGCTTCAAATGATCCGCTTTGTCCTTCAGATCCTGAACGCGCTGCTCACGATCCTTCTGTTCTGCCATGAGGTTGTCCACTCGCTTTCGTTCACACTCCACCTCTTCAAGTCCCACAGGAACGATGGTCTCAGTAACAGCGAGGAGTTCCTTCTCAACAACCCACTGATGCAGGTCATTCGCTTCACGTACAAGTTGGTAGGCCTGAACTGAGCCCTGCAAGCGTTCCCGGCGGTCACGACCGAGTTTGAGAAGGTTGTTGTACTGCTCCTCAAGCCGCTTCTGTTGTAATGCCACTGTGAGAGGTTGGTCCAGGAGGTGGGACTGGCTGTCCGTCAATGGTGCATCGATCTTCTTTAAGTACGCAGCAGGAACAAAGCCTTGACGGTCGTTTATCTCGACCTTCCACCAGTCCTTGCTGGAACTGTTGAGAAGGGAAAGAATCTCGCCTTTACGCATGGAGACGTCACGAGGGGCTTTCTCCTGGTAGTCGTACAAAGCTACCACCAGCTCTTTGCCCATCAAGTCGCCTACAGGAACCTCTTGCATTCCACACTCAGAGGCCTGCTTGCCCAAACTCTCGATAGTCGATCCGTAGGCTTCGATGTCAGCCATCAGAGCATCATGCTTCTTGAGGAGAGCTTCAGTGGAATCTTCATCTCGTCCAAGCTCTTTAGAGTCTACAAGAGGCTCTTTTTCATGCATCCAGCTCTCAGCTTCACTAGCGTCCGCAAAGTACTGCTGAGCCTGAAGTGAATCATCCAGTAATTTGCGTCGGTTTTCAGCCTTCTGGCGCAAGTCTTCCCAAACCGAGTTGAGACCCGCGATTCGTTTTCTAATCTCCTCTGAGGCGAAGTGACCTTGTTGAGCCATATTCTCGCCGGTCTGGTAGACATCTTGGATGCGTGGTTCATGGCCTGCGATTTCAGCTAACACGGCCTGATGTTTCTTGATCAGGTTCTGTACGCCAATCAAGTCACGACCTGTGGAAGGGAGTAAAAAGAGGTGAAACTGAGGTCAAAGAGAAAAAATGAACCAATACGATTGGGGCTTGAAGAGTTTATGTACACTGTAGCAAAATGATAGAAATTTTGCTGACACTAAAAGGTGGCAATCGATGTTCAATGCTCCTAGGTACGCAAAAGAGAACATTTGAAGTGGACCTTCTACTTCACAAAGAATCTAGAGATAATCATGTAAATAACAATTTGATGGCAAAAACAGCAACTAATATTTCATACCCTTAAAACCCGTTAAAAGGTCTCCCACTGCAAGGAATTCTTTTCCTCGCTAAAACTTGTTACAGATTATTTGTGCACTACCGCAAAATGACAGCCAGATAACTCGCCGGCTGACGGTGAAAGGCAGTAATTGATATCCGATGCTACTAAAAACGCACCAGATCTACCTCCAGGGCGTGGAACGAGCACCGAAAAACGGATACTTTTACTAGCTACCCTTTCACCAAAAATGGATAATTTCAGGGGGTCATCTTTGTACCATTGTTAAATGACAACTATACAACTTGCCAGTTGATAGAGAAGGGTGGAAACACTCAACTACCTGGAAGATCTAGCATTGGAACGTAAAAGAGACATCGGAAAAAAACATCGTTACTATAACCTTTTCCAGTAAAAGTGATGAGTCCTGCGAAATTAGACACTTCCGTAAAATGACAGTCGGAAAGCTACATCTAATGACTGCAATTTGTCATTCAATATTCAATGCTACTAAAAATTACATCACAAAAAGGTTTTTTTGCACCTTACCAACATTATTTGAAGCAGCAACAGGCTCCTTTTCCCGAATCCAATCCTCTTCATCCTCTACATCGCGGTAGAATTGATGTAACCTGTAGGCGTCATCTAGACGAGCTCGCTTACTTTTCAGCGGCTTCGCAAGGGCCTCGTAACGAGCCATTACTTGCTGCTGCTTTTGTTCTAGAATCGGGGCGTCGTAGTGACCCTCCTGTTTAAACTTCTCCACCTGATCCCGGAACGCGCAGATACGATCACGGTGTGACTGCACATCTGATTCAAGGAGGTTGTGCTTCTTCTGAATGTTAATCACGTTGTTCAAATCTCTTCCATGGTCATCCGAAGCCAGTTTGGCCTCCACTTCGGAGAGCCAGAGCTCCACATCTTCAACATTGCGCACAAACTGCTGCTGATTGTTGGCCTGCTCTAAATTTTTGCCCTTTTTTGCCATAGCGTCGAGAAGTTGGAGCCATAGATCATCCAGCTCACCGATGCGTGCCCTTATGTCATCAGATTTGTAGTGTTGCCCGTCAATCAAGTCAGTACCCATTTTCTTCACCTCGTCCATTCGTGATCGATTTGCGTTGATTTCAGACTCAAAATTGTGGTGTTTTTGTACCTTAGTTTGCAGATTGGTTGGATCCTTGTAGCTTTCGTCGGTAGCAGTTTTCAGCTTCTCCATAATCCATGCTTTCATTTCGTCAGCATCGCGATCAAACATCTGGTAGCGATGCGAGTCTACCAACTGCTGGTGGCGAAGGGCGGCCTTGTCTTGAAGAGCAGTTCGACGTTGCAGCAGAGATTCACGGCGCTCAGCCACCTCTGGAGAGGCATAATGATTTCCGGCGATCAGTTTGTCCGCAAACGCTTCCAAATTTCTGATTTTCTCTTCCTGAGCTGTCAGAGACTTTTCAAAGTCCTCCTGCTTCCGCATGAGAGCTTCAGCCGCATCTAACGAATCACCAACATCCTTGTTTTCAAGGAAAGCCTCCTGCTTGGCGATCCAGGCTTCAGCCTGTTCAGTATCACGGAAGAAGAGCATGAGGTCCATACACTGCTCAAACTGAACACGACGAGCCTCCCAGAGTTCAAGCAGAGAATCACGCTCATTCTGCAGAGTGTTCATCTTCTTGACAACATCTGCGCTTGTCGGGTGGCCCATATCAACAAGACGTTGACCTTCCTCCATGCAGGACCTATAGGCATCCTCGCGTGAATCGATTTCACCCTTGTGCTCGTTGTGGCGTTCTACTTGAGCCTCGGCACCCGCCACATCTTTGGCTAACTTGTCGGCCGAGATGATGGCCTTGGTGTCCGCAATCCACAGAGTGAGATCACGCCAGTCGGCAAGAAAACGATGCAAGAGGAAGGATTCCTCCAGCTTCGCGCGCCTGTCTCCAGATTTGGCCTTGAGATCCTGCCAAGCTGTTGTGAGCGTATTACGCTTCTCCTGGATCGTATCCTTCGAATCGGGGTGCCTTTCGGAGAGCGCTTCAGCGTCGGTACTGAGCTGGGAGACTTTGTCCTCCAGGGCTGCCAAATCACGCTCAAGAGCTTCATGTTTGCGCTGTAGAGCCTGCACGGAGACGAGGTCGCGGCCACAGTCCTCGATTGCGAGGGGAATTGACTTCTCATTGAGCCACGAGATGGCTTTGTCCGTTTCCCGAAAGAAACGTTGAATCTCGTGTGCCTCATAAAGCTTATTCTGCCGCTTTCTTGCAAGTTCCTTGAGACGATCGAGAGCCTCACGAACCTCCGTTTTCTTCTCAATAACCAGTGCCTCTTCTGGAAACTCCTCCTTCAGCAGTTCATCGGCCTTGGCGTAAATCTCCATTGCACGACCCTCTTGGTACTCCAGATCCTAAAACCATGGGGATAGTGGGCAGTAAGAAATGGAAGCGCACCTTCATGAATTCATCATATTTTTTTTGGAGAGCCTCCACGTGTTCTAGATCTTGACCAAATTCCTCGGAGGTGACAAATGCCTCCTTTTCACGAATCCAAAAGAGAATTTCATCAACTCGACGTAGATAGTTGACATATTCAAGAGTGAGGTTAAGAAGACGGGCTTTCTGCATGAACATAGCCATGAGCTTCTCCCAGAGTGCATGCAGTTCATCTAAGATGCCCTAAAGGTGAAATGTTCAGGAGAACAAAAATGAACATACTCGAATGATTTCCGAAGCATAATGGTGCTGAGAAATCATTTCTTCACCACCGCCGTCGAGAGAGTTTAGATTCTCAAAGTGGGCGTTGACTTCCAACTCGAGAGCCTGATGCTTCTGCTTCTTGCTCTGAGGCACAAATCAAGAGGAAAAAACTAACGTAAACTACCTGAAGGTTTGTGAGATCCTTATAGTCTTCACTGCTGTAAGTTTGCAGCTTTTCCTGAATCCAATTCTCAAGTTCATCAGCATCGCGCTTGAAGTACTGATACTTTTTGGCGTCCTCTAGTCGACGACGACGCTCATCTGTAGCCTCTTTGAAGGCAGCATAGCGGTCAAGAACCTGGTTTCTTCTGTTACGCACGTCTTCAGGAGTCTCCAGAATCGCTGGTTCCTTAACCGAATTGACTTCAGGGTGACCAGCAGCAGTGCCATTTTGTGGTTGTTCTTCCATGATGCTATAGTAAAAGTGAAACTGTGACTCAGTCAATCCACATTAAATGCATTTGTTTGCAAACGTGCGAATCAGAAGATGCCGTAAGTCAACGCTAAGAGGATGACTAAAAGAACACGCAGCACAAAATAAGACATATGTTAGGATTATTAGGCAACTGGAATCCAAGTACTCCAGTTAGTTTCACAGTTGAATAACGCTAACGGGATACACTATGAGAGGAAACAACTGAAACTACAGACAAACACAAAATTTATAGGTACGGAGGAAGCACGCATATCTAGCACAACAACAGAAAAGTGCCCGGATCATAAGACCCGATCATGATTGCACTAATTTTGCGCAAATGAAGACAACCCATAATTGGAAGAATTACCGATTACCCGAGGGATGCAACCAGAACCGAAAGTGCTTCGCGGGCGACAGAAGCGAAACGCAATGCGTCCTGAAACACTGATACGTTAAAACAAATAAGCACGGCTAGTTGCACTTATTAGGGTTCAAACCTACACCTGCTTAAAGCAAAAAAGACAAAAGTTTTACGTGGTTTACTTTTTAAACTAAAATTAAAAGTTATTCTTACTTAACTTAAAAAACCCCACTCCTTTGCGATTGTTTTGCGTATCTCTCATAAAAATTGTAAGTGGTTTACAACTTTATCACTAGTCGTATTGCAAAATTGTTGACAGTGTCATGTGTCTGCATCACTTCTCAGTAGAATGTCTGCATAGGCAGGGGTTCGAGATTAAAAATTGTACGATCCCTAACTATCCGGTCATACAAAAACCCAGAAGTAAATAATCAAGAAATATTGCCAATTTTTGAAGCTAGAATGATTGCACTAGACGTTTGGTTTCTTAAAAATTACCTGACATCGTGAATTGACTTAGATTCAGTACAGAATATGCATAAATTACGTACAGAAATGACCGGAGGTCATTCATGCTAGCGGTAGTACAACCTGTAAAGCTCTAACTGCGTATATAAATTAAACAAAGATTTAGGTGAATAATAAGGAGTTATAAGCCCGACTACCCATGTTAGCCCCGCTTTTGGCGCTCTCCCTAATCAACTGGCCGCGTCGGCCGTCACAATGTAGTTGATGTTGTAAGGAATAAATGTCTACAAGTGACTTGCAGCAGTTAAAAAACCTTTCCAATACTTGCGTAGAACCTTAACAATTGTTAGATTTTGGAATCGCATTGGAGGATGGAAGTGTGCAAAAACATCGTCTATGTTTATCGCTTGCAATAAAAATCACCAGACTAACAGCAGTGTTCATAATAAAGAATGCATTTTCAATCCATTCCGCGGGAACAAGATTTTGCATTCGCTTTTTCTTGTTACCTTGTTTTACTTAAGTGCTGCTCAGCCATATCAGTGTGGGATAGGATTAGCTAGCGGATAGGTAGAGGGGGTATCTCGTGTTCATTTAATTGATATCTTCATGCAGGTATTGTGGGCACCTATATAACGAAGATTTTGTTGGGTCACGATCACAGCTAGTATTAGTTCTGTTGATAATACTTTTCTCGCAGAACGCTGGACGAAGATTGGTGTAGGTGATAGACGCCAAATACAATACTTTTGTTAGGAAGTCTTCAGGAATTTTCCCATCCATGGCACATGTCTTTCTTCCGCCATGTTTAAGTTCATTTAGCAGCAATAAAGTGCAGGGTGGGTGCCCCTTATGATCGGGTTTACTTTCCGATGCCGCCAATGCAGCGCTCCGAGACTTTCTCGAAGACGAACTAAGAAATAATATCGTGTTAGATTATGCATTGTAGGGGTGGGGAAGGTCAGGGAGCATCTACATGGCGGGAGCCAAGGAGCTCAACGAAAGTACAAAAGCGGGCTTTTAATTGCAGCACAACAAAAATCCACTAAAAATATATTGAAGATAAAACCAGGCTAAACTTAGCTTACTAACATCTAAATTCGAAGCTCTTCGGTCTTAATATCTGTATGCGTTTTAATTACAGTGTTAACTATTTACTACTAGATTCAATGCGGATGTTGTAGACCCACGGATATTTTCCTGAAGACGCAAGGATACATAACACTCAGGCTGAACATATACGTATTTGACATGTAGTAGAGCTTGGAGCTACTGGCTCTTAGGCCAGCCCACCGGGGGAGGTACAATGGCCAAGACACAAAAGACCATCAAAACCAACGGTTAAAATTGACCAAATTAGCCACTAAACATCATATTAGAATATGTTTAAAAGTTGGTGTTTGACAAATGGTGAATGTATGTAGTGCCCCAAGGCTCCATTGAAGGTGAGAGAAGGCATAACATAGGACAAAATAGGTATTGTCGACATGCAGTGGAGCTTCAGGCTACTGGCATGGTCCAGAGGTCAACTGACCCGACGAAGGGACAATCGCGGCCACCCAATCATAATGGAGGAGGCTGCGTATTAATGGACTTGCAAGGTGGTTTGTGCAATGGTCTATTTTATGACTTGTATCACTAAAGCAGATTTTGTATTTCGTATCCCGGCAAGGGCCTAGCAATCACATAGGGCCAAACAAAGTCAACATCACGGCAAAAAACCAAAAGATACTTTAGCATTTGTGAGTAAAATGCTGCTGAGCAATAGGTAGTAGGATCAAACACCCAGTAAACGAAATATTGATCTCGCTTAACATATTTTAAGCCTCTGGCCTAAACTGTTTCAAAACAAACAGGTATTAAACAAACTACTACAAGATAAATCAACAAAGGATAGTATGCACCCTAAAAATGGCTTGTTTACCATGGAACCACAAATTATGTAGATTTTTAAGAACTGAAACAGACTTCCATAGTCAACCAATAAAGGCTAAAAGTGAATAGTGTATGGTGCCCATTGATAGCCCTCTGCAGCCGGAATAGCATACCCCTTCTGCGTGATGCTTCCAGCGAATAAGGGTTCGTTTTTTTGGAAAGACGGATTTTATTGATTGCAAATCGCATTAATGCCAAAATCTTTCTATTTTAGCGCTGGAGTGGCAGCAATTGCAATCGAAGAAGTATGCGGACAAGCGAAAGTTTGGTTTTGTGGAGGCGCAGAAGGAGGACATGCCTCCTGAACACATCCGCAAAATCGTTCGTGATCATGGTGATATGACCAATCGCAAGTTTCGCCATGATAAACGTGTTTATCTGGGAGCGCTCAAGTATATGCCGCATGCCATCTTGAAGCTCCTAGAGAACATGCCGATGCCTTGGGAGCAGATAAGAGATGTTAAGGCAAGTTCAATCGAGTTCTATTTTAACCGCCTCAGGTCTTGTATCACATCACGGGAGCTATTACCTTCGTGAACGAAATACCTTGGGTTGTCGAGCCGATCTACGTCGCCCAGTGGAGCTCCATGTGGATTATGATGCGTCGCGAAAAGCGAGATCGACGACACTTTAAGCGAATGCGCTTCCCTCCTTTCGATGATGAAGAACCACCACTAGACTACGCTGATAATATTCTTGACGTTGAACCTCTAGAACCGATCCAAATGGATCTTGATCCCGAAGAGGATGGCGCTATTGCTGAGTGGTTCTATGATCGGAATCCTCTCGCTGAAACTCCGTAAGTTTGTCTCAACAAGGTAGTGTCAAAAGTAGAATCTGAATAGGCAAAGCAATTGTTCCTTATTATTGAAAAGCGTAAAAAGAGGATAATTTTATTAAAGTAGGTGGCATCGTAACTTTTGGTTTGGGAAATCATGGTTCTTGGTATAGGAAATATCACCGAAGAGATTGGGGTAGATGAAACGTTTTTTTTTTATTCAAGGCACGTGAATGGTCTTACGTATCGACATTGGAATTTGCCACTGCCGATAATGTCGAATTTATATCGTCTAGCCAACTGTCTTTTGACGGATCTTGTGGATGATAACTACTTTTATCTCTTCGACCTCAAGTCGTTTTTCACCGCAAAAGCTCTTAACGTGGCTCTACCAGGTGGTCCAAAGTTTGAACCATTGGTGAAGGACAAAAACCTTGAGTAAGTTGCGCTTTTATACCACCTATTTGTTTTTCTAGTGACGAGGACTGGAATGAATTCAACGACATTAATAAGATTATAATCCGCCAGCCCATTCGCACGGAGTATCGAATTGCCTTTCCCTACCTGTATAATAGTTATCCCTTTCAAGTTCACCTGTCATGGTACCATACACCAAACGTTCTTTTCATAAAGACTGAAGATCCCGATCTCCCGGCCTTCTACTTTGATCCTCTCATTAACCCAATTTCACAACGTCACACTGTAAAGGTTCCAGAGGCTCATATTGCAGGCTTCGACGAGGATGAGGGGGGATTCAGCCTTCCAGAGCACTACAGACCCTTTATGGCTGAGACACCTTTGTACACAGACAACACGGCCAATGGTATCGGCCTCCTCTGGGCACCCAGACCCTTCAATCTTAGGTCTGGTTGCACCCGACGCGCTCTTGACGTTCCATTGGTTCAAACTTGGTATCGAGAACACTGTCCCTCTGGAATGCCAGTGAAGGTAGGGCCTGTCATTTTCCAACGCCCCTTTCTAGGTTCGTGTATCCTACCAAAAGCTGCTGAAGTACTTCGTGCTCAACGCCCTACATCACAGGAAGCCAAAACCACAGCGGAAGCGCTATCTCTTCCGCTCGTTCAAGGCTACTAAGTTCTTCCAAGCCACCACGCTTGATTGGGTGGAGGTGGGCCTCCAAGTTTGTCGTCAGGGCTACAACATGCTGAATCTGCTGATCCATCGAAAGAACCTTAATTATCTTCACCTAGACTACAACTTCAACCTAAAACCAGTTAAGACTTTGACCACGAAGGAGCGCAAAAAGTCGCGTTTCGGCAATGCCTTCCATCTTTGCCGCGAGATCCTTCGTTTGACCAAGCTCGTGGTCGATAGCCACGTGCAGTATCGTCTGGGCAATGTGGATGCCTATCAGGTACGATGATATCGCAGGGGTCCAGAAGGTAGTTGATATGTGAACTACCCAGTTCTCCCCATCTGTTGGCCTTAACGCACGGCATGGGGCGACGGTGATACTGCCTTTTCTGATAATGCTTTTTTCTCCTACCAAACAGCTCGCTGATGGCCTCCAATACATCTTCTCCCATGTCGGCCAACTCACGGGCATGTACCGTTACAAGTACAAACTCATGCGACAAATCCGTATGTGCAAAGACCTAAAACACTTAATCTATTATCGATTCAACACCGGTCCAGTGGGTAAAGGTCCCGGGGTCGGTATGTGGGCGCCAGCGTGGCGCGTCTGGCTCTTCTTCATGCGCGGAATCACCCCGCTTTTGGAGCGGTGGCTAGGCAACCTTCTATCCCGACAGTTCGAGGGACGTCACTCTAAGGGAGTGGCTAAGACTGTCACTAAGCAGCGTGTGGAGTCACATTATGATTTGGAATTGCGTGCTGCTGTCATGCACGATATCATCGACATGATGCCCGAGGGTATTAAGCAGAACAAAGCGAGAACCATTCTACAGCACCTGAGTGAAGCCTGGCGTTGTTGGAAGGCCAACATACCTTGGAAGGTGCCTAATATGCCCATCCCCATCGAAAATATGATTTTGCGTTACGTGAAAGCTAAGGCAGATTGGTGGACAAACACAGCTCATTACAACCGCGAGCGTATTCGTCGTGGAGCCACGGTAGATAAAACAGTTTGCAAAAAGAACCTGGGTCGTCTCACTCGCCTCTACCTAAAAGCGGAGCAAGAAAGGCAGCATAATTACCTCAAGGACGGTCCCTATGTCACGCCTGAGGAGGCGGTGGCTATCTACACCACGACAGTGCATTGGCTAGAGAGTCGTCGTTTCTCCCCCATTCCTTTCCCTCCAGTAAGCTACAAGCATGACACAAAGTTGTTGATTCTAGCCCTGGAGCGACTGCGTGAATCATACTCCGTGAAGAACCGTTTAAACCAATCGCAGCGTGAGGAATTGGGTCTAATTGAGCAGGCCTATGATAGCCCACACGAGGCGTTAAGTCGAATCAAGCGTCATCTGTTGACACAACGAGCTTTTAAAGAGGTGGGAATCGAGTTTATGGACCTCTACAGCCACCTTGTACCAGTTTACGACGTTGAACCATTGGAAAAGATCACAGACGCTTATCTTGACCAGTATTTATGGTATGAAGCGGATAAGCGAAGGCTCTTCCCACCTTGGATCAAGCCTGCGGATTCTGAACCCCCGCCACTTCTGGTCTATAAGTGGTGTCAGGGCATTAACAACCTAAAGGTGAGTTAGTTTTAAGGAACTAAATTTTGCTTAATAGTGTTAAAGCATGTTAGTCTAGACCTTAAATACTCACTTTTATCACTTCTACTGCGGTAGAAGTGTAGAATATAATTAAAAGATAGGTTGGGTTAAGTTTACTGGCGAGTCCAAAAAACTCGCATGTGTGCCTATCCTCGCGACAAACACAAATTTAATCGGAAAGTAAATCATTTAAACCAACCCTTGTGTGATAAAAGTGAGGATTTGTTATGTTTATCCCTTTGAAGTAACTACAAACGGGTTTTGTGCGATTCAGTGTTGCTTACCACTCGGATTAAGGAAAGGTTTCGGTTTTGATTATTTGAACTGTAGAGATATTGGCATTTATTCTAGCATTAGTTGTAGTCGGTTGAACGGCTAACTGGTAGTTTCGCTAAGATGGTCGTCAGGAATCAAGTAGCTAAGACGAAGCTGGTAAAAAACCTACCCAATACAAAGGCATAATCCTTTGATTATTCGATTTCTTAAAATCCTAAAGCCCTGAAAATGGGGAGCAGTTGGACTGTACTATGAATAACTTCATCTAGAAAAGTAATGAATGTCTGAGTCACTTGAATTATTTTAAGACATCTTTGGATGGAGAATAGAACTATTAACTTTGCATTGTGGTGGAAACTCAAATTATTGAGAATGATACCATAGATTTAATACATTCTTATACGGAAACTGGGAATTTAATATCGTTAATCTGTGTTATTTCATGTTGGGATTCTGGCCCTCAATGATTTTTTACCATTTTTTAATCGGCGGTGTGATAGAGTAATTTCGGCGCCTTCACTCGGTCTCGATATCAAGATTAGGCAGAACGAAAGGTGAGATTTCAAAATTCATTAAGAACTTCGCTCATTAACCACCCTTTTAGGATGTGTGGGAGACGAGTGAGGGTGAGTGCAACGTGCTGCTTGAGACGCGTTTCGAGAAGGTCTACGAGAAGGTCGATCTCACCTTGCTCAATCGTCTGCTGCGCCTCATCGTTGATCACAACATTGCTGACTATATGACAGCGAAGAATAACGTTGTGATCAATTACAAGGACATGAACCACATTAATAGCTACGGCATCATCCGTGGTCTTCAGTTTGCCTCTTTCATCATGCAGTACTATGGTTTGGTTCTCGATCTCCTTGTTGTCGGTCTGGAACGTTCCTCCGAGATGGCTGGATCCCCACAAATGCCCAACGACTTTTTGCAGTACCAGGACACCGCCACCGAGGTCGCTCACCCCATCCGTCTCTACACACGTTACGTGGACCGCTTTTGGATGTTTCTGCGCTTCAGTGCCGAGGAGGCGCGTGATCTTATCCAGCGCTACCTCACTGAGCATCCTGATCCCAACAACGAAAACATTGTGGGCTACAATAATAAGAAATGCTGGCCCCGGGACTCGCGGATGCGGCTGATGAAGCACGATGTCAACCTGGGTCGAGCGGTGTTCTGGGACATTAAGAACCGTCTGCCACGCTCTGTCACCACGATTGATTGGGAAAGCTCCTTTGTGTCAGTCTACTCGAAGGACAATCCCAATCTTTTATTTGCGATGTGTGGCTTTGAGTGTCGTATCCGACCGGCATGTAGAGCTCCTAGCCAGGCTTCTGACGTGAATCTGCCGGGTGGAGTATGGCATCTGCAAAATGAGGTGCGTTAGTGTGGTTACCTCAGCTTTTTTACCTGCAGTGTTCTCTTGGTATCTCCATGGTAAAACTCGTGCTCAAACAGCACGGAATTCTAGATTTCTACACTTCATACCAGCTTCAGTAAAGAAGCTGTTTAATCTTTTTTAACCACGAGAATTGTGGCCGCATGGAATGTTTGCCACCACAGATGAAACCAATTTTCGAAATCTAGTATTATTTGATTTTGGTGGTGACTCAGTGGCTTTCCTCGTGTTTACGTTAGCTAACATTTGCACTGACGAAGAACCGTCTTTTCTTGAAGTTGGCCCTTAAGAACAGAAATTCCATGCTCCGCAGCATAACAGATGAGTGAAAGTCATTTTCCGTCCGAAATTTGGTGAACGATTTCTCACCTCTTTATAGTGGAAATTTTCAATCCTTTTTTTCGCGTTCATCCATTCACCCACTCTCATTCTAGGTGACGAAGGAGCGCACTGCCCAATGCTTCCTTCGTGTGGATGACGAGTCGATGCAACGATTCCACAATCGCGTACGCCAGATCCTCATGGCCTCGGGCTCAACGACTTTTACGAAGATCGTGAACAAGTGGAACACCGCCCTTATTGGTCTCATGACATACTTTCGCGAGGCCGCCAGTTCCACTGTGCCACTGCTCGACCTGTTGGTGAAGTGCGAGAATAAAATCCAGACCCGCATTAAAATTGGCCTCAATTCAAAGATGCCGGCTCGTTTCCCACCTGTTGTCTTCTATACTCCCAAGGTAAGCTTTGAATCCCATTCATGAAACTAGATTTTGTGCTTTAACAGTTTAGTGTTTACGCTCTCTGCAAGAGAAAACTTCACTTCCACATTAAACATTTAGATGACTTGATGGTCTTGGTGAACTGCTCATGATAACCAGCGTACGGCGAGATGCTGTCCCTCATTGACTCAAGCGAAGCTTGAGCTTGTGGCCATTAATCTTGTGACACTCCGCACTGTCCAGAATTAGCCATTCATGCCTGGTTGGTCAAAGATAATCAATCGCCAAGCCCCTTGCCTTCGTGGCTTTCTCGGACGGCCTCTGCATTTCGATAGGTTGAACAAATCTTTAGCACTCTTCTTCCACCTGTTTATTGAGACTTGAAATTTTCAATGCTATTGACATGCTTGAAGTTCGAGATAAAGTCTACCTGAAACGTTAATTACATTTAAGGCAGGTGTTCAGTTGCATCTAGCCTTGTCGAGATACTTAGGTACCTGTATATTCTTTTGGTATCGCTGCATTTTGGGTCGAGGGCGTTGGATTGATCTGTCAAGCCATGGGGTTATTTGTCACGTCATAAGTCTCCTTTCTCTTGGAAAGATTTGAAACTTTTTCAAAACCTACTTTCTTAGTTTGTGTAGGTGATCATGAAATCGATCACTTTTGAAAATCTTGCAAACATTATTTTCGGCAATACGCTTTTACTCCCGTAATTTTTAATGTTTGTATTAACTATCGTTTTTACTGAGAATTGTGAATCGTTTCTGTGACTTGTTTGGCAAACATGACGGTAGCGGTTGAAATGCTCAACACAAATTTTCGTGAAGTTCATTCGAGACGCGAGGCGATTGTAACATTACCGAGCAGGTTACTTGAACTTAATCCGATTTAAACCGGCTATTGACATCTATCATGATTGTCAGTTTATCAATTCTCCACTTTGACAATTATCTTGCGATTGGATTTAAAATTACGTTTTACTCTTTTCTCTTGGTGCACAGGAGCTAGGTGGTCTAGGCATGCTGAGCATGGGTCACGTGCTCATCCCTCAATCTGACTTGCGATGGTCGAAACAGACGGACGTGGGTATCACCCACTTCCGCTCAGGCATGAGCCACGATGAGGACCAAGTGATTCCCACTCTCTTCTCCTACATCCAGACCTGGGAAACCGAGTTCCGTGACTCCCAGTCAGTGTGGGCTGAATACGCACTCAAACGCCAGGAGGCCAACGCGCAAAATAGGTAAGTTTTTTCCTCCGTTGCTGCATTTTTTTTACTGGAGGAGTCTTTGTGGAACCCTAAGGGTTGTCGATGTATCTAATCGGGCTATTTATACAAATTTGTTACCCCGTTTGCCTCTGAAAACGTCACAAGATGTTAGTCTGAAAGCTCCACTATTGTAAGCAAGTGGAAGGGCTGAGACGTCATGGACAGAGTGGGAGACTACAAAGGGCTAAGCAGTCGAACTTTGGTTTCTTACAAATATTGCAAAAGGGGATCAGTCAAGTTCATATCGGCTCCTAACATTGCAGTCATGATCAATTTTTCGAAGGATTTCCACCAAAATATAGTCATTTGAGGATTGTTCTCGTCTTTATAGACTTTTCAGCTTCTAACTGCGTTATTTGTGACGACTTTAGTCTCTGTTTTACAAACGATCCAATTCGCTATCAAGTTTTTGGAAAACAGAACTGTTCACCTACTAGATGGGAAGTTTTATTGCAAATTTTTATAACTTCAATTAATCAGTGGTTAACGGCTTGAGTCATTTGAATTTTACGCTGAATATACTTCCGGTTTGCTAATGTCCGTTGTCGGATTGCGTAGAGGCACAACAAGTTGTGCCTACTACTTCTTTCGCCACCTGAACATGTTACAATGCTTTTCACAAATAGTCTAAGCCCTAGTATCTGCCTTCAATTTCATTTTGGAATGCTAGATGTGTTGTTTCACGGATACAGATCTTGTGACAAACCCTTAATCATTGGTCTTCACCGCTTAAACTGGCAATTTCGATTTGATAGGATTCGCTTGGTCAGATGCGGTCTTTCTACTATCATTGCTGTTATTAGTGAAAATAAAAGTGGGGATTGTGAAAATTCCCATAATTTGTAGTCTTTCTAAATTGGGTTGCTAATCAATAAATGCTCCTAAAGAAAAGCTTGCTCCTGGCTCACGGACTCGCTGATTATTTACTAAACTCAAACCCTCGTTAAAAGGTTTTTTGCGGTGCACTTAATTATTCTGGCCTTGAAAATGTGAACTAAACTGAGTCCTACACCCTCGCTTAGCCACTAAGTTATTGGCTAAACACCTCTTGACTAAGTCATTACTACCGGTAACTCATAATAGCCAGCATGTTGCCTTGATGTTTTATGCCCCATTCACTCATATCCTAGACGTTTGACTCTGGAAGACCTGGAAGACAGCTGGGATCGGGGTATTCCGCGAATCAACACCCTCTTTCAGAAGGACCGGCATACCCTGGCCTACGACAAAGGTTGGCGCGTTCGAACGGAATTCAAGCAGTATCAGGTGCTGAAGCAGAACCCTTTCTGGTGGACACATCAGCGCCACGATGGTAAGCTGTGGAATCTCAACAACTACCGCACCGACATGATCCAGGCCCTGGGCGGTGTGGAGGGAATTTTGGAGCATACCCTCTTCAAGGGCACATACTTCCCCACCTGGGAGGGTCTCTTTTGGTACGCGTCTTTCACCTTCCCACACTTTTGATAGTTTTTTGATGCCTAAATCGCATCATTCATTTACTAGGGAGAAGGCGAGTGGTTTCGAAGAGTCGATGAAGTACAAGAAGCTGACGAACGCCCAGCGCTCCGGTCTAAACCAGATTCCAAATCGTCGATTCACGTTGTGGTGGTCACCCACCATTAATCGTGCTAATGTAAGTGAATTCGTGCTATTCGAGTGCGTTTTTGTCTGGTTTTCCGTCATTCGTATTTTGATCAGTTGCGAGAGCCCTTATTCACTTTGGCGACTTTGAATTTTGCCTCGCCTATTGTGCTTGAAAAGAAAAACTGTTGTATCATTGAATTATCAGTGGAGTGGAAGACCTGAAGCTAATTATAGAGTTCTAAGGATTGCGTCACGTCTTTAAAATTAACCAAATGTTTACATAGTCGTATAATTTATTGGCAGTTATTGCCACAACTTTGTGTGATCTTTGTTTCGTTTCACTTTTTTGCTACCACTGTTTAATATCCTGTCTGTCACTCATTTGAAGCCACCGCACATCAGTTTCCGCATCACTGCCGTCACCTTCCCCATTGTTGTCCTGTAAAGTTGGCTCGCTTACTCGTTTGTAAGATTACTTTCGCGCAATTGCTGCGTCATTAGAACCACCATCACTACAGTAACCACGGTTCCTTCCCTCTATTGTTTTACTGCCCCATCAATTCAGCGTGTCTGAAAGGAATTATGGTTTTGATCAAAGCCTAAATTTTGTGTGCATCTGACCACATTTCGTGTCCATAGGAAAGGCAGCAGCGGAATTTACGGAGTAATACCACCTTGTATGAAACTGTTTTTGTGTTTTGTTCCAAAACGGGATTCGTCTTTTAGATCACGGTCTCGCTTTGTTACTAGGGCTCTATCAAGCTGTGAGACACGGGATGACAAAACGGGAGATTAGATTTAAACACTTTGTCATTGCGTATTTTCGTCGTCACTATTCACGTTCATTTCGACTTAAACGACAACCTTGTAGAGATGGATTGCTCTACTCTGTTTTTAAAATGTTCAATTTTATCAGCCTTCGTTATTTGGAACCATTGCAGCATCCGATTTACCTGTAAAGATGCTACTAGGCCTGAGAGTCGGGCGGGAATTTCATTGTAGCCGACTACAAACTGGGAGACTAGTCGAGTAGGTGGCATTTTCAGTTTTTTTCAAATCACGCTAATCTATCGTCTTGGCATTCCAGTCACTCCAGAAGATGTCCTCTGAAGTAGCAGTTTGGAAGATTATTTGTGAAGGTGGAGGACTGAAAAGTTCTGGACACCCTTGTATGTAATTAAAATAGATACTAGTCCGTTTGTCTCTACATTAACGGTCCCCAAAGATGGGAATGACACGTCTTCTTCCCCACAGGTGTACGTAGGTTTCCAAGTACAGTTGGATTTGACTGGAATCTTCATGCATGGCAAAATTCCCACGCTGAAGATTTCTCTCATTCAAATCTTCCGCGCCCACTTGTGGCAGAAGATCCACGAGTCGGTGGTGATGGACCTCTGCCAGGTCTTCGATCAGGAGCTCGACGCTCTCGAGATTGAGACGGTGCAGAAGGAGACCATCCACCCGCGCAAGTCCTACAAAATGAACTCCAGCTGCGCTGACATCCTCCTCTTCGCCTCGTACAAGTGGCCTGTCTCTCGACCCAGTCTTTTAGCCGACTCAAAGTTAGTTACATAGCTCCTCCGATCCTGTTCCTTCTGCTTTTATGATTTTCAAGTTGCTTTAGGACACTTGGTGACTTTTAGATCAACTGTGCAGACGGTTAAATAAGCATTTATTCACAATGGGGGCTAGTTCCTAGTTTGTTTTACTAAATTTTCCTATCAAAATAGGATCTCAAATCATTTCCTTTATGTGTGTCGCAATCACAATTTTTACTTCCTATGGATCGGCTCGTTGCTGTTTGATCTCGCCTATTTTACTGAAAATTTATTTCCATCACTTACAACTACAGATCATCAATTTCCATCTTCGTCCACTTTGAATTGGTGGCTTACCTTCCCCAAGAAACTGTTCCCACTGCTGCGTCGTGTTTCCACCTCTAAACTTAAATTGAAAAACTAGTCTGTCCTTTACCAAATGGGTCGAAATGCCTACTCGTTGGGGCACAGTTTGCTTAGTAATGGAGGGTAAAGTTTTGGTCTACAACGATTCGATTGAAGTTTTAGCTACGTTTTTAACCGCTGTTGCGAATCTGTAACATTAGAAAACGACAAAGCTTTGCCGTTAGATAGGGTTACATATGGATTGTCGCGGTGTACTTTAGCACCTTGTTTCATTTCCATATTTTTGTAAGATGCAGGTAAGTTTTATGCGGCCGATAAATGGAGCACTTTTTGCTGTAAAATACCCTCTTCGGTTAAAGTCGGTTTGAAATATGCGTTTGTTGGTTTGTCAGTTTCAGTACCGTAATGCGTTTTAAAGATGTTTGCCCATGTCCCTTGAGATATTTTGAAACTCATTGTTTACGTCTCAAATGTAGTTGCGGATTTTCATCGGACGTGCCGATTTTGCGAAATTCCTACACTGTTTTGTGTTAGTTTTGCGTGTTTTGAAGACAGGCCCTTTCACTTGTTGGTGGTCGTCGCCTTCGTCCCTCTTAAGCCTCTTTAAAAGTGGCTCAACTTTTCATCTTTATACTTTATCGGCGAAAAGCGGCTTTTTACACGATAATTTGACATTGAATCTGGTGTTTGTTGAATTATTTCCTTCATGCTGCCGCACATTCCAGTTCTGTTCAAGTTTTTTTTATGGGGTGTGACTAGTTATCCCAAAAATACACTTCACTTTAAATACCACTATATAATTATTTCCCGATTGCTTTAAATCACTTAACCACATTAACTCGTTGGCAAATACTAATTTTATGCTGTTGTCACGTAGGGACGTGATGGACGGCACCACGACGCAAAAGTACTGGATTGATGTGCAGCTACGTTGGGGCGATTACGACTCACACGACGTGGAACGCTACTGCAGAGCCAAATTCCTCGACTACACCACCGACACTATGTCTATCTACCCCTCACCCACCGGCGTAATGATTGCCATTGACCTAGCCTACAACCTTCACAGGTACTGCTCTTGTCACGCTTATACCATCCCTCTTAATTTGGTAGTTAGCTCCGACTACGCGTCTTTATCATCTCTGTTTTCTTTAAGTTTACTGTCGGTGACCCAAAATTCAGGTTTTTTTAAGCCTCTTGAAACCCTATTTTGAGATCGACATATTCAACTTTTATTTCTATTTTTGGTTTGAACTCCAACTTGATTTACTTTCCGGACAAGAATAGCATTTGCTTTTGAACAGTGATGCGTCTTCACTTTTACTACTTGAAATAGCGCGTCACGCCTGTGTTAGTCCAATTCCTTCGTAATGTTCGATTTTCATAAAAAGTCAATTGAGCAGTGTAGCACACGACAATTTTTCATGTTCATAGGACATTCACTCCAGCATGTACCGTTAATGCAGATACTTTACTTCCTTCAGTACATATAAAGTTGTTTTTCTTTTAACCAAGTTCCGTCTTGGTATTTTACGCAAAAGCAAACTGGAAGTCATCCATTTTGTGGGGATACTGCGAAGAATAAGTGGGTCATCCCCACAAGGTAAGGATATACCTTTGCAAAAGTACTGCAGTGGTGGATATTCTAACTTTGACCATAGCTTCAGTTGCTCCCTTTTGTCCAGGTCTGAAATGAGCAATATCAGCGCTTTTTCCCGTTGAACTTTTGACATTTCTGTCATATCTTCGCATTCGTGCGAATCGAAAATACCCCGTATGTTACCGATGAACATTAGTTGTTTGACTTGTAATTATTTGTGCCGAGGAAAGCAATAACCATCATTAGTATTTGAGTGACCGTATCCGTGTAATTTAAAACGTTTCAGCCATGAATGGTTATTCTGCATTTTTGCTTCTCAAAGTTTACCCTAGAGAGCTCATTTGTAGGATACTTGTCATTTAAACGCCTGTCTCTCGTATTTTTCCAGATTCATCAAATGCTTGGACAATCCTTTTCTATAAAATAACCTAAATTAAAGCAAGTTTATCCGAGTCATTTGGGCTTGAACCAGTGTGCATGCTGTTGCGTTTAATTGCTTGATAGTTGATGAGAAAATTCTGGTTTTTGTGAGTCGACAGCGAAGAGATCCCTAGATCAAGTGTCAGGATAGTTCTCCCCTAAGTATTCGGTATATTTGTTTCCTTATCTATTGCAATTCTTCACACGGACCAACTCTACCATCCAGCAATCTGTCTGCAAAAACGGACTACTTTGTGAATATAGGGGTTGCGATATAAGTACACTTAATGTCAACATTTTTCGCCTCTAGCGCTTACGGCAACTGGTTCCCAGGCTGCAAGCCGCTCATTCAACAGGCTATGCTGAAGATTATGAAGGCTAATCCTGCGCTCTACGTGTTGCGTGAACGCATTCGCAAGGCTCTGCAGCTCTACTCCAGCGAGCCCACGGAGCCCTACCTTAGCTCGCAAAATTACAATGAGCTCTTCTCTAACCAGACTATCTGGTTTGTGGATGACACCAACGTCTATCGCGTCACCATACACAAGGTTTGTGCCCTATCTATTTTGCCCTCTCTGCGCCTTGGACTTGATCCCAATTCCAGTGTAAATCAAGCTTAACCTATCTAACAACTCTGGCTGTCTCGACACAACTGTTTCTAAGTCTATTCATATAAGTAGTATCTTGAATCTTTGAAGTTATTCATAAGCCAATAATTATTGAAACTCGCTTAATTAGGCTAATTTGCAGTGCTTATTTCCTTACTTCAATCTTACTCGTCACGGCTTATGAGTTAGACCAAGGGTGAAGTTTTTTTTTGGATACACAAAATATCAAGTACATCTTCAACCGATATGGTAGATTTTTTCCCCCTTCTTTCGCAGACATTCGAGGGTAATCTCACCACCAAGCCCATAAACGGTGCGATTTTCATTTTCAATCCACGGACGGGTCAGCTCTTCCTGAAGATTATCCACACCTCCGTGTGGGCGGGTCAGAAACGTCTGGGTCAATTGGCCAAATGGAAGACGGCCGAAGAGGTGGCCGCGCTCATCCGTTCTCTGCCTGTAGAAGAACAGCCCAAGCAGATCATCGTCACACGCAAGGGCATGCTCGACCCCTTGGAGGTCCACCTCCTCGACTTCCCTAACATTGTCATCAAGGTGGGTGTCCATACTATACGTTCTAAAGCTACTCTGTCCGTTTTGGTCTGGTGGTGATGCATTTGCCAAGTTATCCAAGTTAGTGGAGCTTGAGGATTTGGGTTAAGGATGATCGCTGCCAGTCTTTAGATGCGGTGAGATATTGATGTTTGCCAATTCATGATGCCCTCCACTTGCATGTTACCGGTGTTCTTAGAGAGTTGTTGATGTAGCGAGTCCTATTAATTTGATCCACCGGCTGCCTGTGTTGAATACAGGGGCAGTTCGCCTGCTTTTTGCTGTACTTATTAGATCCTAAGAAAATTTTAATTATCATTTTACTTGATTTTAATATGGCTTGAATAGCCTGTCAATTTGTCTACGGAAGACAAACTATATCGTCGTTTGTGTCGCTCTTTGGACAAAAAACCGACAGTTTCGTTAACCCCCAAAATTGTAGTTGTTGCAGGGTGAGAAGGGCCAGTGCGTTAGTAGGCAAATGGATCTCTTATTTTCGAAAACTTTGTGTCATTTAGGGTGGTTGTCATCCTGTGTCGTTTAGCCTTCTATTTATCCAATTGTTTGATCAGAAATCCCTCGTTTTCTGAACGAAAAGCCATGCACCCTTTCGCTGCATCCCGGAGACTGTTCGTGTAGTACGAATAAATGTAACAATATAGTCGGTTTCGTTGAGCTTCTCTCCCATAACTTCAGCCATAATCAATCTCCGATTCTGATTTTGTTTATTTTTGCGAGAGATGGTCGTGA